TGCTTTTAAAGTCGTCTCAGTGCTGTTGCACCATGACACACCCAACCACATCAACTCAATGATCTTTTTCGAGTGTTGTAAAACCATTGTAATATAAATATAGTAAGTAAAAACAATTTAATAATGGTATTTCAGAAGTATACCGTGATGTTGTTTCCAAGCCTTAACGGACTGTATTTTTCTCCTGCTGCTCTGTCTCTGTCCCTCCCTGTCCTGCATGGCAGACATTGTCTCTGCTATGTTTGCAACTTAAACAAGCTATTTGAGTGATTATCAGCTTGAGGCACAAACTAAATCCCCGTCTTTGCAGCATCAGTGTCCTCCATCACTTGAAATTGTTAACATTTCAAATGCTTGCATTTTGTCACAGTAAATGAGGTAGTTAAACAGCAACTAAACCATCCAGTGTCAGACATGGTGGAGCGTATTCTGTATGATAAAATGGCAGTCATTCATTTTTATAATACCCAAAAACGACACCAGCCAGAGGTGTAACTGGAAGGCTGCTTTATTGTTTGGAAATAGATTCGTGCTCAAATGAAGACATTCTTTCACTGATTCTCATTTAATTGTCCCATGTGGTTGTGCAACACACGTCCTCTCTCTGACTGTATTAGTGGCAAGAGATAATGACAGTCAAAAGGTTGTTGTTTTTTTTTTTTGTTTTTTTGTTTTTTTTTCAGTTAGCCTATTTTCAGCAAAGAAAAGAAATTTATCTCAGTCATGCTACAAAAGAATGGCCTCATATACCGATTGGTAAACCAACATTTTGGAAATGAACACAAGTGTAAAACAGAAGGCAAGCTGTTCTCTTACTGGCCCAAGAAGCCAGTAAACAGAACACACAGAGAGAGCACTTGTACTACATGACTCTACAAGATGTTAGTCCAGACAGTCTAATCTAGGTGGTGAGTTTTTCAGTTTACAAGTTAATTTTGAACTCAATACATCGTTTCTATCGTGCTCCATTTTGATTCACTCCCATGGGTTTTGAGATCCTCATTGCTGATTTTATTGACAGACTAAATAGGAAGCTAAAAAGGCACGTGCCGTTAAGAGATATTGCACCATAAACAAATACACAGACAGTTAAGACAACTAACCCTTAAATCATTAGATATATCATATTGAAAGTGACAGCAAAATTAAAGATCAACTCCAAACTGCAGCAGTGTGTTAAGTGGAAACATGGATCAGGGACAGAGCTGAAACGAGCAAAAAATTTGTCACACAAAGTGAGCTGTGGCTCATACTGGGGCACACTGGTTAACCAGCGGTTGCCTGCAAAATACTATGAGCGCGGGTGTGTGTGTGTGTGTGTGTGTGTGCGTGTGTTTGTGTGTGCGTGTGTCTGTCTGTCTGCATCTTTATATCTTTGTGTGTACAATATAGGAAACTAGGGGCAAGACATCTTCACACATGTACAAAAGGGTTTGCTGGTAGTGCAATCCTCTCACCAAAGCAGGCTCCACAATTCTCAGAAGCAGCCAGTACAAGTACAACACCATGCATTGTACGCTGATACCCGGTATGCAGAAATCCTGGGCAGGCCAGAGTTTTGGTTATTCTCTGAACAAACCACACAAAGAAAGAAGCATGATCAGTTACACTCTGTGGTTCTGGTTTCACCTCAATGCAAGGAGTGGACAGGAGAGTTGAGTGACAGACATTGTTCTAATGTATATATACTATATATATATATATGAAAGAATATATATATAATATATATGTAATATAGCTCTGTATACGTACGTATTGATTTATACAGTTTTAAATACAATTTCTGCTTTTTAACATAGATTCTTTTTAGCTTACTCCCCTCTTTTTTGTGAAAAGTGACTCAAAAAATCTACTCCATCTAACAAATGTGTCACAGCCTAACAAGTGTGACAAGGGGTGTCAGCTGGAAGCCATTCTATTTATGGTTATTAATATTTAGTGTTAGATTAATAGCTGTAGTTTTTTAAGTAATCCTGTATTTACAAAAAAACTACACATGCCGTTAAAATAAAATAATATATTACATTATTTATAGTTTCTTAAAAAGTCCATTCTTAGCTTTTGCAGTTTGTGCCGTATAGAACATAGCCTGAACTGTATTTATTTTATTTTATTTTTTTCCCGAATGGATGTATGTGTGTCTATTTTTTTTTTAGGCTTCTTTCTGTGATTCCTATCTGTATATCCGTGGTGATCTTGGAGAAAATGGACGGCAGTAGCTTTTATGCGTATCATTCAGAGTTTTATTTGGTTCAAGTTAACACCCACACTGATTTTGGAGATCTCATGCAGCAACTGGACCGTAGAACTCGAGAACGGATGAGGGAGTTATTCATAAACAGGTAGTGACATCACTGCACAACAGGAAGTGCAAAAGCTCTGGTGTGGTGCTTAGGCTCACAGTACCATAAGAATGCATCCAGTGCTCTGTTGGTTATTTGGTATTTGTTATGCAGAAGAGCAATATGAAGAAAAATGGCAAATGAGATGCTCAGAGCACTTGTTGTTAAATACTGAAATGTGGGGCCTATCCACTGAGCATGACACTTCTGCCTCAGAAAGAAGTGAAAAGTGTGCTGCTCAACCAACATATCCCAATTCACTTTCATGACATCTCCTCACAGTGTTTCCTGTGTCTGTGATTTCTATCGGGGTGAACATTATTATTATTTTGTTTACTGACATTAATTGAGACCAGACTACAGTCCATAATGACTTAACCACAAATGCAAATCCGCTATCAATATAAACGCTGCCGTTACAAGCGAGCGAAATGTTGCTGTTTCACTGAGATGCTTCTAGCCCTATAATTCTAAGCGTCATAAGCAGGAAGCGCTAAACTGGCCCCTGACCGGGCGGCTGCCAGAACAAGGCGAACCAGCCGAGATCATTGTCCATCAACATGGCAAAAAACACAAAAGAGTCAAACATGATTTCATAAATACTCCCATCACATTCACTTGCATTTTGTTGCAGAGCTCATAATAGTACATCTATAATATCTCCTGAGAAAAAGGGATGAATTTTTCAAGCATTGCATACATTTCTAGGGTCTCTCTGTCTAATAATGACAGCGAAAAAAACAGAATGGGCAGGGCATACTTCACCCAATCCCACTCCATGGACAAAGGGCAACAAGGGATAACAAGGCAGATCTCTTTGGCTTCTCCACACACAATGTTCTCATCACCCATTCATCATTCTCTGCTTCTTGTTAAAATGGGATACAGCTGACGACCGACAAATATGTTCCAGCACAAGACCATTTCCCTCGACATCATCTCAGATGTGACTTATAAAACTGTGTAAAATAAGACCCACCACCCACCGAAACATGAAAATTACATCAGGGGGAAAAAAACAAAAAAAAAACAAAACAAAACAAAACAAAACAAAATAAACTCACACACATGTAAATACATGGCATCAAATGATGTAAACGGAACAATAATCAAAACTCTTCTCAGCCCCTTCAGAAAGGTCTAACCACACATCGAGAAACATCAGAAACAGAAAGGAGTTTGCCATACCTGTGAAATCCCCAAAAACCACTCACAACCGACAGTAGGACTCCCGAAATGCCCGCTCACACAAAACTAAAGGCAGATGGTATGGAACATTACATAGGTGCATACAAATTATAGATATAAGCTTTTCAGTTTCAAAGAGTTGCGCCCTTGAAAACGTGTCAGTCCAAATTAACAAACATTTCAGTCCCATGATACACACAGACATCCATTTCTACATCTTACACACTCAAAATCTCCAGAGCAGCAAATAATTGTTTGGATTTCACCCACTGATCCTCTATGGTGGTATTATTTACCAACATACTCCATTCTTCCGTCTATAGAGGCAACAATTTAAACATAGTCATTTGAAATGTGTCGAGTAATGAGATAAAATTCGGATCCATTTTAGATTATCAACCCCCATATCACTTATCTTTGTTAAACAAATTACTCTGAACTCTCAACTTTCCAATTTTGACAATGTCTCGATCTTACAGTCGAGCCACTGGTGTGGTCTGAGTATTAGTGTCTTGTGGACTATGATAATTCATGCAAGATTTCTGATCAAAACATGCCATCATGCAAGTCATTTCTATGCATTGAACAAGCACAATTATTTATGTATTTGTTTGGAAATCTTTCTGAGTAAATGTAAGCCCTTGGCCCGAGTTGACCCCATAATAAACAGACCCTTAACCAATTCGTGTGAAAGCCCATGTAAAAAAAAGCATTTTTGATGTGGGTATAACAAAGATAAAATGAGTAGAAGAGTTAAGTGACATGGGCAAAATGTTGAATATTGTTCTTTTTTTTTTTTTTTTTTATCTGTTTGCATTTTTGCTGCTCAAATTAACAATTTCTAGCTTTTAATAAAACAAAAAAGTACTTCCAACGCTCTCTGTCATTTGTGTCTTTCACTCACCAGTCATCCTTCTGTTTGTTCTTTAGAGTGAGTGTGTCATTTTCTCCTCTACACATTTCAGCACTAAATGACACAGAACTAAGAGGACAATCCTTCAGCATCAAGCAGCATCCTTGCGTTTCCATCACAACACTGTCTTCCATAGGAATCCATCACTTGCATCCAGGCGCCGGATTCCTGTAGTGTTTTTTCATTCCACCTCTTGGTGTAGAGTTTCTCGTCTTATCTGTGGACCAGTGGCAAGTGAGCAACAGACATTTCCGTGTCTGTTTTTTTTCATTCCCTTTTGTTAAGATCAGTAGTCTAGATACAACAATGTCACACAGTATGCTGATTATGTTTGGTTTGACTGAAGTTCAAGAGTCTTCAAGCTGTAACAGACCAAGCGGCTTCCCTCTGCATCAATATAAGAATGAAGTCTGTAAACAAAATTACTGAATATTATTTTTTTCTGACTTGCAAATGAAATAATCTGTACATCTGTGTGGGTGAGTTTCCTCTCGCTTTGCTTGAAGTTACATTATTATAATTTTTATTGTTATTACTGTGATTATTAATCCAACGCTCTAACATTTAGATTCCCTGATGTCTTTTTGGTTTCTTCCTTTCTCTTTCCTCCCTCCCTTGCCCTCATTGTTGTCATCCTGTTTCTCCTTGTCAGGTTTGGTTACACTGTCATAAGAGGGCAGGGAGGCAGTTGAGGGAGTGCTCTCCTTTTTTTCTTGTTCCTGATTGTTCCCGCCATTCTCCACTTTGTTATTGGCTGGTTTGCGCTTACAGACAAAGCCCCGCCTAGCCAGGTAGGAGCGGTAGGCCCTCTGAATGATTCTGGCTGACACATCCTCCTGCTTGCGCCTCAGAGTGGTGGTGATTGGCTCGTAAGAGACCTTGGAGGGATTGGCCGCCACAAAACGCTCCTCCATTTGTTGCCTCAACATGTCCAGCTCGCCACTGTCACCCAGCACACGCTTGGTGAAGGCAAACAGGATGTCCAGGCAGTGGATGCGGTCGCCACTCACCATAGGCATGTCCATGGCGATCAGTTCAATGGTGTTGGGCTTGGGAACTCGGAGTGGGTGTTCAAGTGCATCAGCAAAGTCAGAAAGCTTGGCATAAGTGATGAACTGGGAGGCATCAGGGTCAAACTTCTCCCAAATCTCATAAAAGGTCTCAAAGTCATCCTCACTGAGTGGGTCGGCGCTCTCCTCTGTGGCCACACTGAAGTTCTCCAGGATGATGGCGATGTACATGTTGACCACAATTAGGAAAGAAATGATGATGTACATAACAAAGAAGAAGATGCCCACAGAGGGGTTGCCACAGTCTCCTGTAGCGGGGGTGCCAGCATTCTCCAACAGGGGGTCACAGTCTGGAGGATAGTTCAGGATGGGCAGGAGCAGGCCGTCCCAGCCAGCTGACGTGGTGATCATAAACAGGATGATCATGCTGTTGCCGAAGGTCTCAAAGTTGTACATGTCATCAATTCCAGCCCCATGTTTCACATAACCAAAGTTGGACATGCCAAAGATGGAGAAAATGAACATAACCAGGAAAAGTAGCAAGCCGATGTTGAACAAGGCAGGAAGAGACATCATGAGGGCAAACAGCAGAGTTCTGATTCCTTTGGCGCCCTTGATGAGACGCAGGATTCTGCCAATACGAGCCAGACGAATCACCCTGAAGAGTGTCGGTGACACAAAGTACTTCTCAATCAGGTCAGCCAGAAACATTCCTGAAATTAAAAGAGAGCAAAAAGAGATACGACATATGTTTGGTTAGGCTATAGGGGATATTATTATCATTGAAACACTGCCCAATGACTGCTTTACTTTACTGTCCACAGTAGGTGCAATGAAAACTGTTCAGTCCTATTCTGTAGATTATTCAGAGTGATAAAAGACAGCTCTAATCTGTTGGGGGGAAAAAAGAAAAGCTTTTAAATTTCTCCTTTACCTCCAATCAGTGATAACATAGTATAAAATTCATGTATGTTACACTTCTATATAACTTTAACAAGCTCTGGCTCTATTTTCTATTGTCTGGTCTTAGCACAAAGTTGATAAGTTGACTTTTTTGGTGTAAAGATATATTTCAATACATTTTTGACTGGTCCAGCCACCGATGTTGAGTCATATAAATGTGACTGTTCAGTGCTGTGAGCAACACGGTGGAAATCACATTCATCTCCATGGTACAGGGGCAGCAGTGGAAATTCAGAGACAGATATGTCAAAACCAAAATAAATTTCATGGCTTCATTCCCCACGTTCAAATGGGCAGAATCTGAGCTATTTCCAGTCAAGCTTCTCCACACCTCTTTCCCCAAGGCATAAATAACTCTTTTGAATACTTGCCCACAATTGAAAGGATGACCACAACCACATCGAAGATGTTCCAGCCGTTGGTGAAGTAGTAGTGACGCAGTGCAAAGAGCTTCAGTAAAAACTCGCCAGTGAAGATCACAATGAAGATGAAATTGACCCAGTAAAGCACAACCTCCGTATCCTCTGACTGATCATCTGTCTCCACCATCATGGTGACCATGTTGAGGCAGATGAGGATCATGATGGAAATGTCGAACACCTGCTGCGTCACAAAGTCAAACACCATGCCTTGGATGTTGTTCTGAGGAGAAAGGGAAGGAACGGAGTGAGAGATGTTTAGTTGTTTCATTTTTAGACATTTGCAATTACAAAGCTGCTTGGTGGTGAGTTTGAAGGGTGTAAAACAATGTTTACCTGAGGCCTGGGTATTGGTTTTTGTGGTTTCTTTGACCCTAGTTTCTTCATGGCATTGTAGTATTTTTTCTGCTCTTCCGTCATGAAGATATCCTGACCTCCAAAGTAAAGGGACAAAAACAATTTGGTTACAATCTGCAAGGATTTTGATCTTTCATTCCATTCCCAATCCAAATATAGTTTAGAATAAGGGCTCATTTGACTTTGTTTGTACAAACAATATCTCTTTCTAGCGAAATACACGCACTCGCTGTCTTGCTCTCTCATGTCTTGTACGGTAAAAATGAAGCTATCGCGCACATGCACTGTGGGGAAACGGCAAGCCTGGCTTTGTTTAAAAGTTACGAAATCCTCTATAATTCAACAACACTTCCTTCCTTCCTTGCAAACAGTATGCTACGGTAATAGGCCGGTGGCTATAGCTTCATATTATATGGACAGAGGTGAGAATGGTATTGATCCTTTCATCTAATAAAAATACTAGAAAGCGAATAAGCAAATTTTCCAAAATGTTCAATTATAAGGCAGCGTGTTCTGAGAAGGTGAAAGTAAAGTAAAGAAGTAAAGAAAAATAAATCTTATCTTTTTCTTTTGTTGATTGAAGTTATCAATGATGACACCAATGAAGAGATTTAGGGTGAAGAAGGAGCCGAAGATGATGAATATGACAAAGTAGATGTACATGTACAAGTTGTCCTCGTACACAGGCTGGTCCTCCACCTGTGAAGTGTTAAAAGTGAAAATATGTACAAAAGTCTACTGCTCATTGATCTGGAAGTCAAGACGTGAAAACTGCGAAACCCTTACCTTTCTAGAATCTATTGCTGCGTACATAATGTCCATCCAGCCTTTGAATGTTGCCTGTTAAATGGGCAGGCAGAGTGTGTGAGAACACTGGTTAAACACTTGACACCGGAAGAGACAAACAAATTAGAAGTGACAGCAAAGGGTTTCTCACCACTTGCAGGAGCGCCAGGTACCCAGCACCCACATTGTCAAAATTGATCTTGACGTTTTTCCATCTGACTTCAGTGTAGTTTGCATTAATGAGTGCAAAACACTCCGTTTTGTTGTTGACCTTATCGGGGAGGAAGTTCTCCTCGGCCGTACTGTTGTAACAGTAGTAATACTTTCCAGCAAACAGGTTGACCCCCATGATGCTGAAGATGAGCCAGAAGATGAGACACACCAGCAGCACATTCATGATGGAGGGAATTGCACCCACCAAGGCGTTCACCACAACCTGAAGAGAAGAGCAAGGAAACAGAGCCACTGTAACTTTGTAATCACTCACCATGTGTGCTGCATGAAGATGTTCACACATAAAACACACACATACACAGAAATGCACATTCTTTTCCTCCATTAAAATCTCTGGTTGTGTTATTTGATTTCTTGGCACAAAATGAAGCCCATAGCAATAAAATACTTGGGGGTGTAACAATACTGTCAGCTCACAGTTTGGCACGACGCTTATGATATACTCATGATATTTTTAACAAAGCTGGAGTGGACTGAAATTGTGATATAACTGTGATTCATTTTCTTTTTTTTTATAACATAGTTGTTTTGGTTTTTTTTATCAGTTTTGGTGCAAAGTCTACATAAAATAAAAAATATCTAGTTAACAATGTGGTCAGGAGACGTCTGAGCAAATGATTGAACTTAGTTGGAGTAACATTTTCCACTTTTCCACCACCACAATATCCTGCAATTTAAACATCTTCACTTAGGAGTGCGGATGTAGGACAAGGACATATTTAAGGCTATTAGCTTGTCACTGCTCTGACAGCATGAATGACATTTAATTGCACCCTCTGGCATTCAGTTATAATTGATTACACTGCAAAACATTTTCAGCTCCACATCCATATTGTCACAGTTTTGTATCGTGTGTCCATATATTGTTACACCCCTATTAAATGCAATTATTCTTCACCTAGAGATCCAGATATTGTACCTAAGATTGCATGGATGTATGAATCGTATATCATATATATACTATATGATAATCCCGCTTTGTGTATTTATGCTTAGTTAGATCAGCCATGATAATATGACTACTTATGATCTTGAAGACAAGTGAATTTTTCTAAATGTATAGAAAGCACATATTGCAGAGTAAATCCAAACAATGACTGTAGTATTACTGATACAGGATTATACTGTACAGCGTTACAAATATGAATGAGCGTACGAGTGTGACAATACAACTATACTACACTGAAGCAGTGTGGGCATGTTGGAGGAGATAAAGCTATTAGCTTCAGGAGGATGCCATATGAATGTGCATTTACAAACAAAGAGGTGCGATGATAACAGAAAGCCAAATAAACCAAAACTATATAGGCAAACATCAAATGTTAAAACTCTCTTTTACACTAACTATCTAACATTTAATATAGAGACAATGCATCCATATAACTACTGCAAAATGGTGATCATGAAAATCATGGTGAGGAAATTCACTGAGGAACGGTGAGCAAGGATGGCTGGGGGAGGGGGGGTATGCAACCAGAAGTTTGTTGATCTTCCAGTGTGACAATGCCAAAGCCAAACTGTGATAATATCAGATAACAGGACACTTGTGGCAGAGCGACAGTTGCAGAAGATGCCGAACCTAGACACTGACAAGATTTTTTTTTTTTTGCCCAGTAACAACCAGAGGCTGATCCAACCCATCACACATTAAAGTAATGATCATAAGAACCCCATCATCATCGTAGAGAGAAAATACAGCTTTCTCTGGCAAAACTCAGCACAGAGCCCTCCAGGGTCACAACGTATCAGAACTACTGACGAGGAAACTGCACACACAGTTATGGACGGCTTCAATTCAATTGCGTGCACACACTGGACAATAAATATGTACGCACCGTTTAATTGACCTTGTGCACCAATCAATTTATTTGCCTATAATGTGAAGACAAGGCAGCTCTGAGGCTCAGAAACTCTTTCACAGGTGTTGATTTTCTTGCTCAAATTGCATAACTTCCTTTATAAATTAACCCCATCCTGTGGTTCAGTTTGAGCAGGTTTTGTGTGATGGTTCATACCAACCTCTTGTTGTTCTCTCAGGTGGTACTGAATACTTCAGAGCTGGGTTATTATTATGTGTTGCATCATTCAGGTCAAAATCCCTGTTATGGTCTAGTCTTTCATAAGGATATGGATAGACTTTTATGTTGTTTTGTTGCTATTTTTAATGGATAGCTCATTGCAAATTGCCTTAACATAGCACTAACTTTATAATATATGAAATGAAATGTAATCAATCAAATCAGATGTATTAATGACCATCTGAGATGATCTGCATCCATGCAAAAAAAAAAAAAGCTTTTCTTTGATAAAAGGGGTTACCTGAAAAATTTCCTCTTAAGAGACATTTTTAAAAGATTTCTATGTTGCCATCTCTAGCATGCGTTGATGCTTTTATTTAATCGGCATGCAGAAAGGACCAGCTGCCTGGTATCTTAGGTCTTACCCTCATCCCTTCAAAACGTGACAGGGCCCTGAGGGGTCTCAAGGCCCTCAGTGTCCTGAGTGATTTAATCGGGCCTAGATCGGAGAAGCCCAACGCATTTGCTATAAGGCTGACTATAGACACCTACACAGATAGGGACAGAAGGAGAGGGAAAGACAGAGGCAAAGGAAGAGAGGACCCACATAGTTAGAGGGGATATAGAGAGAAAGATGGACCCTATATATACTGTAAGGATGGCTGAATGGTTATATACAGATATATATAAGTACATATATAGTTTCTATATATGTAAATATATGTATCTATATAACATGAGGTTAAACGGGTTGTTACAATATGCAAAGGTCAATAAAGTGTACATGACCCAAGTTTTCTTTTTTCTTTTTTTTATGTGTTTGTTTGCTTATGTTTGTGTTTGGTTTAGTTTGGCAAGCCAGTCTAGCGTGATAACCAGCTTAACAGCACAGTGAGCACACCTGGAAAGAAACTTGTGGTTGACACAGTGAGAGGGAGAGAAGATAAAGAGTCAAACAAAGGGAAAAAATTAGAGGAGAGATGTATTCACAAACACTAAATCAATGTGACACAATAATATACACACAGTACACAGTACAAAACAGTACAGCTTCCACACCAGAGAGCATCTTACTTAAAGAGGGGAGAGAAAACGCAGAAGGTTGAGGACAACTTTCAGGGTTAGAAGAGAGAGGATAACCTGTGAAAGTAGGAGTCCCAACACAGCACACAAACCTTACCCTGGACCCTTAAACACCGACCCCTCAGTCCCTCTCGACAGCTGCACAATGTCTCTCTTAACTTAAAGAGAGACACAGTTATAGGCACCTGCTGTGAGAGAGAGGACAGGTCAATATTAGGGTAGAGGTCTGCATGGAAAAGTCAGAGTAAATTATCTTCACAACACATGGGCCACTTTAGAATATACTGAGATTTATCAGAGGTTTTCTACTGGAGAATAAGAAAGGAGCGGTTGACAAGCACTGGACACATAATACACATAACCTGGAGAATATGACTCTTCTCTCCTCTTATCATAAGTCAGATCTATAAATTATACAATGAAACTGAGAACACCCCTGCTCAATATCAATTAAATGTTCACTTTGTCCATTTTAGCTTTATTTGTTTTTGGCCAATTAATTTAAAAAACAAAAATGTTCGACTTAACTATAAAACGGTCGAAGCAAGAGTCAGTACACCCTTCAATGGTGGGATTCCACAACAAACTTACATTCATAATGCCGCCTATAAATGTCATCTCCCCTACACCTTTTGCACTCATGAATCCCCATATCAGCACACTGCACTGCACCCTCTGTTATTGGTGGTATGGCTCTTGTATATTGCAGTTGACACAACCCAGGCCAAAACTGAAGCTGTGGTGTTCACAGGTCATTTTCTAACCTTGCTCATGCAGTTAGCCTTAATTGGAAATCACAGGTGTAGTGCACTTTGTTGCATTGAGGGTAGACTTAAGAGCCCATATTTTCAATGAAGTCTATCTAACCTGTTTGTTTTTGACTGAAGATCTAATACACTAAACTTCAGCTTAAGAATAATTATTTTTGTATTGAGTTATTGTAAGATGATTAACATTTTGGTGATATTCCACAGGGGTGTACTCACATTTGTTGTATAATGTACAGTGGATAGAAAAATAATCAGAAGCACCATACAATATAATGCATTTCAACACAACAAAGGGAGTATATAAAAGGAGTTTCAACAACTACACATTATAAGATTCACATTAGCACTGATTGCAGGGTTACTGAACTGTTGCATTATATTTGTCATCTGTATGATCTGCCCAAGCCTCGTATATTCATATATACACTGACACGGTAAATTTCACAGTGACAAATACACACACTTGCATATACATTTTCTGCCCTGCTGGTAGCAATGTCTAAGGATAGCATTGTCACTTGGTCAGTCTCTTTGCCCATCCAATTCCTTAATCCACAGTGCCCTCTCGGGACTTTGCATTTTCAGCCTCACTACTGGTGAGGCTCTAGAAAATCTTACATTTGTTTCTCAGTGGGGTATTTTCATATTGTGTAATCAACATTTTAACCATTGTTAAAAACATGTGAGGCTTGATGCTTTTAGCCGTACATGAGGATGCATTCCACTGTTTGATACCAAATTAGCTGACTCGGTAAGCACAAAAAGACATGGCACGAAGCAGCTTCACAATTCATACAGTCACAGGCAGCAGAGGTCATGGACAAAAAGGAGATTATGGGCCTGCCTCAATACCCACACTTGCAGTCTGAGGCACTTCAGTGTGTGCCACGTTTGAAAAATCACAGTCTACTGAGCAGCACCAGCCCAGCTGTTAGTGGAAATGTGCCTGTAAGAGTGTTTTAGGATTGGCAATAATCAACAGACATGAAGAAGCAGAAGTTTGTAACATGCTGGATTCAGCATCAATAGCCAATTATGATTCCTGTTCAAATACTGCACAGTTATGGCTCCACAGATGTACCAATTTATCTGGTGATCTATTCTTATTAATGAGACTGATAAAATAATAATAATGCACAACTGACCTTGTAAAAATAAGTATTAAATAATAAATATTAAGTTGATCTGACATATTTGTTCATTTGCATCTGAGCTCAATTGTGCCATGTATTCGAATGGGCCACAGGATGTCTTCATTAACCAAGCATGTCCCAGTGAGCTCTAATAAACTTCCACATGTTTATATTCTTAATGAACTCTTGGGCACTGTGGCATTTACTGGAAATTCATCACATAAGTGGACACATGACTGCTCCCAAATACCACAGGTGTGGGTATTGGTACAAACCCAAAGACAAGTTTTAAAAAACCCGCAGGAACACAACATACATTAGTGCATCCTTATCATGTGATATCATGTGACATTGTCACATGGTAAGAATGTTAATATTGAATCATGGACAGATTGGCACATCACAGTCAAGGACAGTGGAAAATTGGTGGTTAAGGGACAAAGGATGACTTACCAAGCAATACATGACATAAAACACATCATCAGATACATGTATGTGAAGAAGATGGTAGATGTTAGGACAACAAGAGAATGTTCTCGGATTCATTTTTAAATATTCAGAGAAAAAAGTAAAAATTCTAAGAAATAAGTCAGAAGCTTTGTCTAAATTGTTCACCATTCATTTAATTTCAAACTAAAGTTTTGGACATTTGCATGATGGACAGATGTGATTTGATTAGTGACCATCACTTAACATAATTTGAGTCCACTATATAGTGCGATCATTTTCACTTTGGAACTCAGACAACACTATAAAATGGGAGAAACACTAAATAGTGGACTATACCCTATTCCTCTTCAGTGCATGTCAATATCATAATATATTAACACAAGATAAAATGAGGACTTGAAGTTCCTGGAAAAGGGTCACTTTTTGGAAAGTGGTGAATATTTCATGGCGACTCCATCTTGCACTAGTAGGCGTGAGATGAAACTCTGCCATGTGGCTACGAAATAGAACTGTCCTTCCCGTCTTAGCTAACATCCCCTTGTCTTAGGTTAACAGTGATGTTATGCTGTTTTATGTCCCATCTCAACTTCCTGTTTCAATAGGAAACACCTCACATTTAGGTGACAGCCGGACAGAACACCTAACACCTCCCACGATCAGCTACTTGTGCAAGGATCAATCATGATATCAATTCAAAAGCAGTTCAGTGCTTGCTGCTGTGTCTGCCACAGTTTAGTTTCACACATGACACAACTCAGTACAGAAGCTACATCTGCAAAATAATAAACTGTATTTAATGAACATGGCTGGTTAGCACACCATGAATTTCCAGCCCTTCAAAGTCAAACGTCATTTATTAGAACTTTAATCTGAGTGAGACTGTGTGTGAGTGTGAAACTCATCACGCACAAATGGCAGAAAAGGACAAACCATATGTGAGTAATAGTAATCGTCAGGCAAGAATACAATGAATGACTCAGCAGTCCAGAGCTAGGCAAAAGCTCTCAAATACAGTATACCAGGGATTATAGATATTTACTGTGTCAGGGCTGCTGTTGTGCTGTTGTCTCAAGGCCCAAAATGTCAAGTGGTACCCTGGTAAACGTTTCCTATGACACTGACACAGAGCGCTGTGAGGAAGACATAGCTCTTCACCGGTAATATCACATTATATGTTCACTTTTACTGGTGGTTCTATACCATACTGACTCCATACCAACTCTAGGAAATAAATCAAATGTGTCTCATGCTGTGACCCATTAATATTTTGTTACATAAGATAAATTAGCATTATATTTAGTCCAAAGTTACTGAAAACAGTACAGACCACCTGCTCTGGACAGCTAGACTAATACGATAAGGACTATTAAAATTTAATGATAATTTTTGTGGTTTGAAGGTTATTATTCGAGCTCTGTATTTATTATGGAACCTTTACCTATTTGTAAAGAATGGTGTCATCACTTGGAGAAAGTTCAGTGTGACAAGCTGAAACCTGAGTGTCAAGTGGAAATCTGTGTGAGTCAGTCAGACTTTTTGACAGTCAAAGCAGTTTTACAGGGTAAACTGAATAAAGCAGAATTTATTGATCATCTCTAACATGGGGCACATCTAGAAGTGGACAATATTTGTATGCGTTTTCCTTTGTCAACCTTTGACTTGCTTGTGCATGTGTTGAGAAAATACACTGAAAAATTGGATCTTTTTACTTTATTATGTTTTTTTCACAGCAAAAGATGAACTGTATTTCTTGATGTGGCTTTTTGAAATTATTTTCTTTCTCTTTTTGTTATCTTTTGGCCATGTTTAGCTTTTTTTTTACGATAGGGACGGTGGGAGAGAGACAGGAAAGTTAGGGTAGAGAAAGAGGGGATGACATGCAGCAAAGGGCCTGAGTCGGATTTCAACCCAGGGGTATGCCCCTGAAGGGATTTTCTAATTTTAAAAAAACATGAATTTCAGTGTCACAGAATCTATGTTTGAACTACATTTTTTCCTGCTTAATGGTTAAGTTGACCAATGAAGTAACCTCTCAAATCCATGCATTACTCAGATGTTGCCGTCTTAAAATATCATCTTGAGCAGCTGAACCAAATGAAGTGACATCGTTGCACTATTAGTAAGGTATAAAAATTATATGCAAATGTACTTACATCCACAATGAAGAAGTCCAACCAACACCAGGCATTAGTGAAGTACTTGACAAAGCCGTAGGCCACCCATTTCAGCAACATCTCCAGAATGAAGATGTAGGTGAAAACCCGATCAGCGTACTCCAGAATGATGCGGACTGTCTTCCTCTGCTCAATGTACACATCCTCAAAGGCCTAAAGAGCAGCAGACATACATCACACAGAAAATGGCTTCAGTGATTTCTTTCAGCTGCATTCACCTCTGATACATTGCATATGTTGAGCTACTCAATGAGTAAACTGTTGAGGTAAGCCACACCTTACGTTTATGACGAATGACACACTTTTAGACTGTTTATTGTTCTAAATCATCTTTACTTGTGTCATTTTTTTTCATAGAATGAGTTGTTTACATAGTAAAGGAAAAGTGCTTGATAAAGGCAATCTTTCACCAAGTCAATCTAGACTGATTATTCCCTCAGCTCGCCTTCAGTCCTTTGCCTGTATCCGTTCTTCAGCACATAAGTGTTTTGATTTGGCCACAGGCCTCCCCCCTCTAGAAAGCTGCAAACCTAAGCTGGATTCTGCCGGTTGAAAGGTTGGTGCATTACAGCACTTTGCTGTCCATTAGCAACAATCATATCAAGAGCAGCTGCAGAAGAAAATCAGGAGTTGATCTTGCTTGCTCACAACCTTATAAGGAAATGAAACTCACTTTCTCTAAATGAATATCACACTGTTGTTTTAATTATTGTTAATTTTTCCTCTCAGATGTTGTTCACATATTGTCTCTTAAATATCGCAGTGGTGTACATCACTGTGTAACTTTGCTCTGATATGTGCTTCATAATAACAATTAGAGGTACTAGTAGTGGCATTCGTATGATGTTTATGAGAGTATAGATAAGTGAGAACACCCACACTGGAGTGTGCACACGTGCGCTCTTACCAGGGCTCCACTGCTGAGCAGGATCATGAAGATGATGAGGGTTTCAAACCAATTGTGTTCTACAATCAGGTAGCAGGTCTTCCTCAGGAACCACCAGTGTTTGCCCCAGCCGAAGGTGATGGGAACATCACAGCACTTGTATTTGGCCACACATTCTGTATGGCAAATTAAAACACAACTGTTGATGTACACTGACGAATACGACCATGGACACAATGCAATACGTATCACAGTGCCATTAAAATAGTACATATAATGTTAATAGTAAGTCACGTCTGTTCATTGTTATTGTCGACCACAAAGCCAAATTTAAAACAAATACCACCTACCATCTGTCCAGCAGGGTTCTGGGTCAAGGTACTCCTCCACTACCTCCACCACTGCCACCTCCTCCACATCAGGCTTGATGTCTATTGTGCTGCCCTCAGATGAACTGGTGTCATCCAGCTAGGACAAACAAGGGGAGCAAAGAGATCAGTTCAACCTCTGAATTTTTCTCTGAACATTAAAGGCTCAGCAATGAGATGCTGAAACCATATGGATAGGGCACAGAGACAGTAGAGGCAGCCATTACATTAATTCCCCTTTGGGTGTATATGTATGAGATGATTTATTGCTAGAGGTATACATGTTGTATCCATGTAGTGCACCTAATCCTCCTTCTGGTTATGCTTGATCTGCACAGCTATTAATAGGAAGTCATTAAACTTGACCAGTGGTTAATTGCACTGGTAATGATTATCATTGTTATACATGCACTAACATAGATTCTTTATTTATTTGTGGCGACGGAATTAAACAAAGGCTTTATGCTTGTACATACACATTCAAACAAAAGACTCTGTCGTGATGATTTCTATATATAATTTGTGCAAAGTATATTTTTGGATACCGATTACAATTATTACTAACACGTTAGGCTGAGAATTGCTGTGAATATATAGAATATTTCACCATTGTGAGAAAAAAGGAACATGAAATCTCATTGTAAGACATTAAAACCAAAGCTTGTAACATTAATCATGTCAAATCTTAACAATAGGTCAAGGTGAGGCAGGGCAAACTAGTTTAACACCAGCAAAACAGTAGCCTTATTGTAATAAAGTGTATACACACTAGCGCACATGCAGACACTCAGCCAGTTCAATTCACTAGAGAATGATACTGCACTTTATAATCTTAAGTCGTCAGCACAGGACCGCATTCGCTCTCTCTTCCTCTCGCTCTCTTTTTTCTTTCTCTCGACCAAACAGCCAGATGGATCCCTGCTTTTCTGATTGGCTGCTAGCAGCTCTGTCTGTGTCTACTCCCTGCAGTGTACCCTGTGGCTGGCTGTGGTGCAGGAAAAGACTGTTGTGTGGTTGGTTGAGGGAGCCCAGTGGAATATGAACTTGGTGCAGGTACAGTAGTGAGGCTGCTGCGTTATCTCCTTCCTTCCTACTATAAACCAGGTCAAGGTGACCCACGCGGCAGACTTTTCCACAAGCTACTGGGGCTGGCTTACCCTTCTCCCACACTCATACTATACAGTAGACAGTATATTTCTCTGTCTGTTTTCTCATCAGGACTTCCTTTGTGTCTGTCTGTCTGCAGGGTCAGCACTCAGGCTCAGTGTTACAGCTGCCATGTCTAAATGGATGTTCTGAAATGTCAGGTAAACTAAATGTCTTCCATGTGGCAGCTCAGACAAGCTCTGCTTAAAGGATCAAAGGATGCTACATAGGCACACACAAACACACACATTTACACACATGCACTCTGAATTATTCCATGATTGAAGTCACAGAACTGAATCCTGGCATTAGTTTTTTTTGTCCATGTTAACATGTGAATTTCATCCTGATGCAGAAGCCACATTTCTACAGGTCTTTAAACACCAAGATTATCACAGGCATGTTGCATCTGTGATCTCCAATAAACGAGATCCAAAGTAAAACCACCACATAAAAGAAATTACCCAAATTATAATCTAACACTAAAGCAAGGACATCACGGCCGCCATCTCTCTTCCATTCACACACTCTTTCTACTCACATCTTTGCTGTTCTCCACATCCGATTCACTGCTGAAATCTTCCGTATTAAGGTTTTCAAAGTCCGACTCGCCGACAGCAATAGGAACACAGACAGTGAGGTTGGGGTTGTGGATGAAGGACATGTAGTCCTCATCAATCATATACTTTCCCACACTGCTCCCAATGCCGCTGGTGGTGCCATTGCCATTTTTAGCATAGTCCAGTTCACGGTTGATGTCCACTGTGTGGTTTGCAATGCAGTTGAGCTTCTTCTCATACATTTCATCCAAAGGCTTCTGTTCATCTTCTATAGGCTGCTTATCAGAATGATGAAATAGTAGGAACAAAAAAATGGCTATTAGAAAACACCGACACCATCACAGAGAAATAAGTGACCAAGACACACATTCATTTGACAACAATTACAGTTACAATTACAAGTTATTTAACAACCAAAATCATTCGCATAATGAATTATACAGTACCTTTTTAAGCACTGTGGCCACAAAGACCCGCATGTTGACCTTGAACCAGGCAATCCCTGTCTTAATGCGGGCAACCGCAAGCTGGAGATTGTTGGGCTCCCCATCGTCATCTGTGGCAGCGAGGTTGTCTGCACTGAATGAGCTCAGCAGCAAGGCCAGAAACAAGTTCAGCACCTCAGAAAGAAAAACACGACAAGAGCTGGAACACCCTGCACTAACAGGAAATGGATGGTTCTCTATTGGGTAACTATCATTCAGTGAGATGTACACTATGTAATCTCTGTCTTTACTTACCACCAGGTTTCCGATGACCATGACCATCATGAAGACGATGAGACACATGGACTGTCCCGCCACTTCCATACAGTCCCACATGGTCTCAATCCACTCCCCACACAACACTCGGAACACGATCAGGAAGGAGTGGAAGAAGTCATTCATGTGCCAGCGGGGTAGCTCGCAGTCCCGCGCGATCTTACACACACAGTCCTTGTAGCTTTTGCCAAACAGCTGCATGCCCACCACAGCAAAGATGAAGACAATGATGGCCAGCACCAGGGTCAGATTACCCAGAGCTCCCACTGAGTTGCCAATGATCTTGATCAGCATGTTGAGGGTGGGCCACGATTTGGCCAGTTTGAACACTCTTAACTACGAGAGAAACAGGAAACATGATCATTCCACAGTAATTCATATCAGGAGAGTGATTTTAAAAAGGTGTGGCTGTGAACTGTGTGCTTTAATTTCATTTTGAATGTCATGTGAAGCAAATGTACTGACTGCAAACATTTGATTGATACACAAGATACAGACCTTGAGAGGGTTTATAGTTTAGTCAAATAAACAACACAATTGTATGATAGTTAACTAGTTAAAGAGGCTTATTGCAGCTTTAAACACTGAACTATGATATGATAATAATAATGATGATAATACAGAGAAAATAATAATAATAAGATGATGATTCTTTTTTATAATCGGTCTTTTGAAACTGACACTTTCATCTCTCGTTAATGATATGGCCTGTACATGATGGCCACAAGGTAAACAGATGTTGACATCCCTGTCTCTATCCTTTAACACTTACCAATCGGAAAGACCTGAGCACTGACAGACCTTCCACATCAGCCAGTCCCAGCTCAACTAAACTCAGAGTCACGATGAAGCCATCAAAGCAGTTCCAGCCTTCCTGGAAGTAGTAGTAGGGATCCATGGCAATCAGCTTGGCAAACATCTCCCCGGCAAAGATGCCTGTGAAAACCTGTAGACCCACACATGGGTGCACATTACAGTTACTCCACAAATTTGGGATTGAATTTACAATTTTCCCACAAAATGAAATGTAATTAAACATCACATGAAATTGTGTGACATTGTGTGTGTGCAATGTATAAAGAGGGAGCACACAGTACACAGTGAGTGATGACCACTTGGTTTCCGGGTCCGGTTTTCTATTGGAGGTTTCTTCCTGTTAAAAGGGAGTTTTTCCTCCCCACCGTTGCCAAGCGCTTGCTCATTGTGGGAGTTGGGTTTATCTCCATAATATTATAAAGTGTTGACCTTACCTTGTAAAGTGCCTTGAGATAATGTTTGTTATGATTTAGCGCTATACAAATAAAATTGAATTGAATTGGTTGGACTTTTTAGTTGCACCTACTCGTGCAGCATGACATCATGATACACTGCTTTCCAGGAAATAACAGTACCAGTAACGGGTTGTGTCAGTTTTATTTCCGCACTTTATAAAATCGAACACAACATTTAAAATCTTTTAATTACTATAAAAAAAGCTCCAATAATAATGGCAAACATTAAAAAAAAGTAAAATTACAAATCTTTTCCTCATTCTCGTAGTCTAAGAGGAAATTTGAGAATAAAAAACGTGCTTTGCTTGCATTGCATTTCATTTGATGTAGTGCTGATTAAAAATGTATTGGAATTAGCTTAGAGTGAGAGCTTTTCTGACAGGGCAAGGTCATAGAGCAATGGCACTGTGTTCTAGCAGAACTTGTATAGAGCTCTAGTCCTCAGAGCCTTTTCCATATCGTCCACCCAACAGCTAATCATGTGCTCAATCAGTGCTGCAGAGAACACCCAATGATTCATACTGCACCATTCATTACGCCACGCTGATTCCTCTGACTTCAGTTCCTGTTTCACTCCTGACTGAATGCCAATCCCTGTGACCTCATTTCCTGTCTTAGTATTGGTACTGTGCCAATACTGCTGCCGTCAGACAGCTGTGCTACAGTGATATGTGACAGCAGGGGCAGAGCACGATGTCTGCTGTACATCTGGTTAAGATATACTCCGCCAAACCAGTCCTGGACAGATCAGTGACAAGCCTCATTATCGTGACTGTGTGTGTGTGTGTGTGTGTGTGTGTGTGTGTGTGTGTGTGTGTGTGTGTGTTTGTGTAACAGGAGGGAGAGAGAGAGAGTTGGACAGAGTTCAGTAGAGTTGAGGTAAGCTGGATGCAACGGAAGCAGGAGAGTGACCTGAGTCGGGTGGGGTGGGGGGTGGGGTGGGGTTTGGGGAGCAGGCTGGCTGGCTGCATTTAAATGGAACTAAATCTTTAATGAGACCCCATCAGAGTCCTATATACACTCTGCGCATGTGTATTCTTAAGTGCATATACCAAATGATGCATGGATGTATTGATGTATTGGTTTGAGATTATATAGGTGGGACAAACTGAACCTGCAATGCTTCTGTAAATCCTGAGAGAGATAATGAGGTTCAAGGCATAAAAAATTTCAAAGGCAAATGGCAGTGGTACAGGAACAGACAAAAGAAGGGCTTCAGTTTCTCACCAGGTTGCCAACAGAAAGAACTTCCTCAAAACTTTCAGTCATGGGGTAGTGCTCCATGGCCATGAAGAGGGTGTTGAGGACAATACAGATGGTAATGGCCAGGTCAACAAACGGGTCCATGACAATCAAGTAGACTATGTGCTTGATCTTCAGCCAGATGGGACAGCACTCCCAGATGAGGACGACGTTAGCAAACTTGTACCAACATGGAGGACACTTCCTCTGAGACTCCTCCAACTCTGCAGGAAAAGATGAAGATGTTTTTTTTTTTGTGTCTACCATAAGTTTCCTGGCAAGTAACAGACACCATCTGTATCTGGACGCTTGTCTGCACAAGGAAAATGTCAATTTGTGGTTTAACTGTTTGCCCACTGAACGTTTTAATCTGAGTAATGTAGATCATATTTTTGTACAAGGTCTAAAACTGACCTTCAATAGCAAAGGATTAAAGCATTTTGAAAAGGAAAAAAGGAAAACACGAGTTCTGTCTGTACCCTCTATCAGTGTGTTGGTGACTACGCTCATCTGACTGTTGGCGCGGTCCTTTCCTTTGAAGGAGGAGTTGAGCTGATCCACAGATACCATAAGAGAGCCAGAGTGCTTCTTCTTAATCTCCACGTCTGTAGTCTGTACTCAGAGAAAGACATAATGTCAGTTAGAGATGGTACTCACATGAATGCATGCTCAACAAACACACATTAAAACTCTAAAGCTTTCCAAATGATCAATGATGCTCTATGCCTGCTCAAAAGATGAGAAACCTGATGTGTTAAACGCTTCTCATCACATCAGATTATCAAATCAGTTTTACAAAGTGCAATTCCCCCAAATGACTTGTTTTTTTTTCCATTTAAGCATGTCATACAACATATTTCAAATTCATACGGCAAATTCTCAAATGGTTGTCTTAATTTACCACAACTGAGGTGACAGCTAGGTCTTTACTAAACTATTGAGCCTGTATTTCAAATTTCAAAACATTTTTTCTATACATGTTATATTTCAGTAAGAGGCCATTATTAAAATTCTGGCTTTTATTTGAGAATTTACAGTACACCCTCCATTGTGCACTGTGCACAACAGAACTACAACCCCTAAAAGAGCAACATTAAATTGCATGCAATGACATGCATGTCAAGAACAGAGGCGACTTCAAGACATCATTTGCTGCTACACCATGCTACATTTTCAGAGGTAAAAAGGTAAAAGCAGGTAGATTGGTTGAGAATAAAAGAGGGGTCTACCATGCTAGCTAAGATGAGAAGAAATATTGTTATAGGAAAAAGGTTTCAGATTTGTTGTTGCACCATCCAGTGGCTCAGGATCAGAGGATAAATAAGGACATGAAGGAAAGAGAGGGAAACAGAAAAAGAGTGAAAGGACGAGACAGAAAGAAATAGAAGGGTAGATAAAAGCAGAGATAGGAAACAGTACGAGCATGGGAAGACTAAGAATGGAAAAAAGTAGAAGTATTTTTTTCCTGTAAAATGTTGTGATAGTGTTGTTTTTTTTTATGAATGACAGTATCTGTATAGACGTATCCTTCGCGACAGGATTGTTAGGGTAATTAAGGGGGTTGGGGGGGTATCATATTGCGTTATTGTTAGATATTAATCAATGAAATGAAAATCGTGATGCTGGTGAGGCAGTGAGTTTGTGGATTCTGCTTCAGCTGGTTAGTGCCTTCTAGAGCTGTTATAAAAGGAGCAGCAGAAAAGGGGGATTAGATTCAGGGGGGAAGTGGAAGTGGCAGTGTAAGATGAAATAATAAGACAGAATCTAGATATACAAGGGGAGGAAAAGGGAGCTACTGAGTTTAGGGAATAGAGGAACAAGAGCCAAGGGGAAGAGGTTGTGAAGGAGAAGCTGCAGAGACCGGGGCCACCACCATCATGCCTAAACTGTATTGGTGTCCCATGGACGTCCTTACACTGTCATCAGTGGCTGCCTTATCTATTTTCACCTCAGGCAGAAGCCGTCTGCCGGGCCCAGGGCCGATGAGAGACACCACGCCATTGCAGTCCACTGTGCTGTTCCTCTTCCCTCCAGAGTGGGGTGCCAGTGGGTGGATGCGTGATGAGCCTTGGCTGTAGCCACTGTAGCTGTTGCGGCGGTAAGGGATAAACAGGGAGCCCCGACGGTCTTCGCTCTCCTCTACTGTACTGTGCTCATCGTCTGCAAACTCGTTCTCTGAGCCCATGTCCTTGGAACGGCCTTTGAAGCTGAAGATGCTGCTGCGGCTGTTGTGGCGCGACATGAAGGGTGAGCCTGGGATGCTGAGTAGTGACTGAAGAGGGAGAGACAGGTGCAGAGAGGGAGAGTTGAGGGGTTATAAAAAACACCAGGAGATAGTTGATGTGTAAATAAAAGAGGCCAACAAGGTGAAAAGGGCAAGTGGGGCACTGCAGTACAAAGAATCAACCAGAAAATAGACAGAGCCAGAAATGAGCAATCTCAAGAAAATGGGAATGTATGAACATAAAGGCAGACAACATGACAATATAGGTTCCAGTCTTTTCTAACAATGTATCATAAAATGTTGACTTCTCCACCTACCACTCAATATAAAAACCATATATATTGTAATATATTGTAAGATGCCAATGAGATTTTACAGAATTAAAGCTCTGCTGACAATTTCATAATTTATTATCTTCCTTATCATTTATGATATTATTGACCTTATATCTGTGAAGAAGACCACAAGATCCATAGGACAAATGATTAGAGAAAATTATTTTCTCCTCTTTTACGTGTAGTATTTTAGCATATTGAAAGAACAACATAAATGCAAGAACAGAAAACAGTGCATTCATTACAGTGAAAGCTGTTTTCATCATATAAATTGTCTCTACGGTTTATCAAAAAACCAAACCAAAAAAAAAAACGGTGATATCAGGGCTGGTCAGTGAGAGCAGTCAAGGCAGTTGAACAGCAAGGTGTCACAAGGTGCACCCCAAACACACCCAATGATTCCAGAAACATCACTGATGATGCATCCAAGCTACTGCGTGTATGGTGAGGGAAAATATCACAGCTGCTCAACAGCCAGAGTGGCAACGGTGACACCACCGTGAAAGGGCTCAGAAGAGAGCTGTATTCATTTGGACAGCTTTGGCTCAGCAGGTAAAGCGGGTCATCAACTAACAGCTTTGGTGGTCCAATCTCCAGGTACTCCTGTCCAAATGTCGAAGTATCCTTTGGCAAGACAATAGTCCCCAAATTGTTCCAAATGGTCAGGTCACCTTGCATGGTAGGTTGTTGCTGTTTGTAGGTGAATCTGTGAATGAGCACTTCAGATAAAAGCAGCCATTTACCATTACCAACCCCTTCAAGGTGACCAATGAGCTGCTGGGACAGAAGTGCAGTGGTACACTGGCATGCTCTCAGGAGGAGATAGACAATCATCTAAAGCTGACGTTTTGTTATCCAGCAAGAAGTTGGGAGAATGCAATCTGTTGACAGAACAATTTGAGAATGCCAAGATGCCTGAAGCATTCAGGGGTGGTGGCGTAACTTATCAGGGAAGCCAAGGAGAACAAAGATAACTTGTCAGAGATGTGGTTTGATCTTGCGAATGCATACAACACAAACTTATGTAGTTCACACTGATAAAACAACATGTTCCCAATAGAGCCAAAGACCTCATTGCTGACTACAGCTTCAGGATAAACGTCTCCTCTGGATTTGTTGCATCACACTGGTACAAGGTAAAATTCGAAATTATAACTGGGTTTATAATCTCTGTTATCTTGTTTTCTCTGGTGATGAACATGCTTGTAAAGTCAGGACTTATGGAAGAGCTGACAGTCACCGCAGATCCTGTACCAGGCTGCAGCTTGACTCTGCAGGGACCCGAGAAGCTGACGAGGTGATCCCAGATGAGCTTCAAACTAGCCGAGTCCAAACCTCTGATGCTGAAGAAAGTCAAGATTGATGATGTGTTCTGGTGGGCTTCAGCATTGCAACATCCATCCTATTATGTGGCCATTCCTGGTGTACAAAGTGCCATTCTAAATTTCTGAGGCCTTAGAGAGGAAGGTGACCACTAGCATCCAAAGACCGTACTCTACGGGCACAGCAATGAACTAAAGCCACAACTAATCTCTCTGACGGAGGAATTCCAGGCTGCAAGGACCAGAGAGCTGCTGAAGGACCAGGGGTCAACAGACCTGAAGCTAACAAAGCTGGCATTGAAGTGAAGACTGGAAGAAAGTGGTGAGCAAGATGTAGTCCAGCAAGCAGAGTCAAAGCAGAGTCAAAGCTTCAGGCACCCAAGGTAGAGCCGGACTTTGATCCTTCCCAAAATACAATGTCAACAACACCAGAGGAAAGCATCTCCTAGTCCAGAAAGAGGTGAAGGGCAGCAGTGGAGGAAGAGACCCCACTGGATCAATTTCCTCATCCAGGCAGTGTATGTGGATTGCCCAAGCCATCAGCGTAGGAAAAGAAAGGCCAAACATCTGCTAAGAAAAATTCCACTGGAATCCTGACCTCTGCAAAGGACTGGCAGCTGTTAGTAGACCTAGAGAGGTAGGTTAATGTCCCCCAGCACATTGTGCCCACCACCTTGAGACCAGATATTATTCTCTCGTCTGACGCCATCAAACAAACCATTTTGCTGGAGCCATTTGGATGAACTGGTTTAGCGAGTGCAGACATAAGGGTTGGGATCAAAGTGTCTGTCTGTTGAAGTTGGATACAGTAGGCTCTGAAGCCTAATCTCTAGATTGTACAACACCCTAATCATGGAGAAGGAGAAGAGAAGAAGAGCCATTGTTGGCACCATTGAAGCAGCAGCAAGAGCCTCACGATGGCTGTTGCTCAAGACAGGTTTTTCTTGGTAACTTTACCTGGTTCATGATGGATGTCTTCCTCCCCAGGCGGCTTCCGGGGAAACGAATGGTGCTTTTCTTGCTGCCATCGTCTGACTCAGACTTGACAACCTTTTCGCTGTCTCCCTTCTCTTTCTCCTGCTCTTTCTGACGCCATTTCTTCTTGCGATTGCGACGCTCCTTGGCGCTCTTGGAGCTCAGCTTGGAGACCTCAGAGGAACTGCGGGACAAGTGCCCCCCTCCTTCATCCTCTAACGCAGCCTCAGACACTGTGCCTGCAGACGTCGCCATGGCAGCAGCCTGAGAAAAAAAAGACGCATGTTAAGCGTAAAATATGAAAAATAGGTAAAAATGTATGTGTTTGAGATGGAATGAGACCAACCTGCGTCTCCTCCTGTTGCTTCTTCAGCTGCTCCAACATGGCCTTAAATTCAGCCTCTTTCTGCTCTGCCTCCTCAATAGTGGCCTGGTTCTGCTCCTCATAAGCCATGGCCACCACAGCCAAGATGAGATTCACCAGGTAGAAGGAGCCCACGAAGATGACAAGCACAAAGAAGATCATGTAGGTCTTCCCTGCGGCTCGAAGAGTCTGACAGAAAACAAACAAAGACAATGAGAATGAATCAGAGATTTAGAGTGACTCAAAATGGAAGATTATATTTTTAAACAGACATATTGTCCTATTGATAAAATATAAATGGAATGCATCTTAGTTAAATAGTTGTTTTATATTGATTTTTTTTTCCCCACAGCACTTTCTTATTTGGTCAGAGAGACTGTATGTATATGTGTGTTGTATCAGCATTGCTGGTGTTTCTATATCCGGTTCATGGCTTACTCCAGGAAAACCTCCAGGCAGGAAAGAAGCTTTAGAGAGCAGGAATTCCCAGTTTTAACACACTCACACTCACACTCACACTCACACACACACACACACACACACACACACACACACTAAAACAGTGTCTGGCCTATTTGCCAAATGAAGTGAATCTATTATGGCTGTGGGTGTGCAGGTCTGTAGGAGGGGGAAAGAAATGCTAGTGCATGTCATAGTAGTGAAGTTTATTGATATCTGTGCACATGTTATATATTTTGTTAGTGCATTTGTGTCCAACAGTTAAGAGCAACAGTAAGTGTGAGGACTAAACAAGGCAGAGATTCAATTCAGAAATACATTTGGCAGAGAGAATGATTATTCTCAAGGTCATTTAACAAAGATAAATACATTTTTATTATTTGCTTCAATACAAATGCACACAACCACATCTTTCAAAATTCTGAAATTCTTTTCCCTCAACATAGAAGACGAACAAAACTCTAATGTCTAGTCACACACTTCCAGCTACAGTATTTCTGATCAGCTGTCCTTGCTTTGCTTTTATTCAGAGGGCGAATGAACTGAGGGGTAAAGCTGCTGGGAGGCATGGGCACTTTTGCTGATTCATTCAGGTATTAAAATGACAATGTGTACATTTTTATGATGAAGTGAGGACAAAATCATTAGTACTGCTTAGGGAGTGTTTTACTTCCCTGGGTAGTTGCAGGGGACTGGCGAGGTTTCAATATAGTTCTCTAAAACAGGTGTAACAAGGGTCAAAGACTTCATCCATAGGTCACACTCTGACAAAATATACAGTCCCACTTTTTGCTTCCTCTGGACATTTATGTGTTCATTGGAGGCTAAAGGGAAGAGACAGAAGAATTCAAGAAAACACTGCTTTACCAGCATGTAGAGATTTTCCCAGAAGTCTTGGGTCATGAGGCGAAAGAGGGTGAGGAAAGCCCATCCAAAGCTATCGAAGCTGGTGTAACCGTAGTTGGGGTTCCTTCCGGCTTTCATGCATGTATAGCCCTCTGGACATCGTCTGAAAGGAACACATAGCAATGTGAAAACTGTAACTTAATGTAAACTTAATGTATCACTGTAGCATGAACACAGTCAGACTTACAGATACATGCATCACTGGCAGTCTAGCATACATCAGGAGCATGAAAATGAGCTTGAAAAAATTCTTGGTAAGTGTGGTTTCTTTGTTGCTGTTTGCTTGGGTATGCATGCTTACATGTACAGTATTAGTTGTAGGATATTGATATGGCTCATCATATTTATTATATTTCATAACCTTTTCGAAAGCAAAAAAGCCTGTCTCATAAATATATACTCATACTCTTTATTTTGTAAATTGCTCAAATGTTTTGCCCATGAATAATGAATGGCCTCTATAATGACTAAAATTAGCTTGTTTAGTATCAGTAGCACCAATTTCTTTTCACATGCTAATTAAGTTTTTTTGTCCATGTGGTTAAGTTTGCAAAAACATGCATGGCCTGAAGATCAAACAGGCCAAAATGAGATGTTTGAGGTGGTGCAGCATACAGGATCATCGCCCTGTGACACACAGGAAGAGCCAGACCAGGAGTGACCCCCCGTACCCAGAACCTCTACACACCACAAGCATCATTCCAAGGCAGAGCTCTACATCGATGAGTCAAGTAGCTGGCAGGGGTCAGTTTGATGAGGAGGTGGACAGGATCTTTGAAGCCATAGCCAGGGGTGATGCAGATCAGAAGCACCAGGTAATGTCAACCATCAGAGTCGACATTAATGCTGAGAAGTTTGGCGTGAAGAAGCAGTGGGTGACAAAAAAACCCTGGGGTAAAAACTGGTGGGAGACAATCAGCCAGCTATGATAAAGGCTGAAATCTCTAAGGAGGCAGCGCTAGGAAGAGAGGGAGGAGGATTACGCCATCTTAGCAGATCTTCAGAACATTGTGAGAAATAAGGTCATCACCCTCTGCAGTGCAGAGTGGCACAAAAGGAGGGACAGAGAAAGAGCCAGAAAGCAAGTGGCATTCATGGCAAACCCCTTCATTTTCACCAAGAAGCTGAAAAGGCAGAAGCAAAGTGGCCACCTGTCATGCTCCATAGAGGAGATTACCAATAGCTAAACAACACTCGCAGCAAGAGAGACCAAGACTTGAAGGACAGTGGCTGTGATATCATCAAAGAACTCATTATCGAGTTCAACATCTAGGAGCCAGCATTGAAGGAGATAAAGAAGTTAAAACAAGCTTGGCCCAAGGCCCATGTGGAATGCCTTGCAAGGTCTACAGCAAGTGCCCCAGGCTCCTGCGACAACTGTGGAAGAACCTCAAGGTGATCTGGAGGTGGAGGAGGAAGGCAGCTCAGATGTGGAGATTTGAAGGTGTAAAGATTCCAAACGAGAAGGAAGCAAGCGCCATCAAGCAATTCAGGACCATCACATTCCCAAGTGCTGAAAGGAAGACGGTCTCCAGTATTGCTGCTTGATAGTGGAAGAAGAACTCATACGTTGACAGCTCAGTTCAAGTCTTTAAGGTCCCAGGGTGCACTGAGCATCACATGACATGACAGACATCACATGACTGCACTGTAAGGACGCCATCGGGAACATTATTGATGTTGAGGAAAACGCATGAAGATGGCTGCGGATCAAGAAGGGAGACCCATGGCCTACACATGCTACTTGGGCCCAAGCCTGATCAACCCTGGCTGGGTCATGTGGGCTGAAAGACCCAAAACCCCCAATAACCCCTGGATACGTCAGCGACGGTGTGTGTTAGTGCCTCGCAAAATGTAAAGGAACAACAGAAAAACCAGGGATACCTGCAGAAAACACTGGCATAAATATGGAGGCATGCATTTAGTGAGAGAAGGCTTACCCTGAGTCAGAACTATTTCCACATAGTAGAGCATCAAGCTGATCAGGGAGGAAGTAGAAATTAGCTGCAAAAAAAAAACAAAAAAAAAACAGAGAACAGCCACTTGCATTAGCCGCTGGGCACCTTCATTATTCAATATTTCTATAAATTTTTTATATCAGCAAGGTGGAACAAAAACAAAACAATACAAAGAGAAAAGAATTACCAAGATGCACACACACATATCATCTCACATTTATGTGGAACCAGTTTAATCAAGTGTCAAGGTCGTCACTCACTGTCATTCATGATGTATGTGGCCCAGTCAAAGCCCCTGCTGCCATTTGGCAGGTACTGATCGGTCATGTTGATTGGCCAGAATACACACTTATTCCGCAGGTTCCCCATGAAGAGCTGCAGTCCAATCAGAGCAAAGACGCTGAGACAGAAGACGGTGAGGATCATCACATCCGACAGCTTCTTCACAGACTGGATCAGAGCACCCACAATGGTCTTCAGGCCTGTCAACTAATATAGAATACACACACACACACACACACACACATGCGCACACACACACAAACACACACACCAATGTGCAGGAATGCACATACATGAAAACAGACAAACTCATATACACACGCACACCGTCATAACCATTCAAGTGCACAAAGACACAAAGACACAAAGACACACACACACACACACACACACACACACACACACACACACACACACACAGATAGAGAAATAAAAAGACTTGCAACTTCTGGCACTGCAAGAGAGCACAAGCTGAGTTTGGTTCTACAGCTGCAATTCAGAGCTGACTCAAGTCACGTAGGAAAAAAGTTTAGTTAGGTAATGTATATCTAATCCTGTATTTAACCCTGTGCTGTGCAGGCTGTTACATAAATCTAAACTTGGCAAGCATCAGAACTATTTCACAAGCACCTACACCCGGTGATGCTGAGCCTCAACACCAGAAATGGACCTTGTGTGTCTTGTGCATTTTCTTGGAGTATAAAACCAGTTGTTCCTGTCATTCCTGCCTGGATGGAAAGCTGCAGTGCAGGCTGTCGTCTCTTTTTAAGTCATTAATCAGACAGTTGCTATGCTGTGGGTATTTATCACTTCATGTATGATTTAAGCATATGCAGACACTGTCATTGAACATCTTAACAGCGCACAAAAATTATCACTCTTGGAAAGTAAGGGCTCCATTTTGTCATAAAAATGTTCTGATATGGAAAAAAAAAAAGAAAAGGTATTTAAAAGAATCATAATAACAAAAACAGCTGAGGTAACCACTGGGGTGTGAGTTGGTGTAGTGTGTTGAGAATGATAAATTTGTGTAAATGTAATAAGTTGATCACATTATCATATAAATGTAATAGGTTAACTGCGAAATAATTGCTACATAAAGCACTACTGCACAGTAGCAACACAACCGAGCCTACAGTAGTGAGAAGAAAGCTGAGAATCTACTTTGGGTGTGAAAGATATTTAGTGTAGAAATTGGAATTCTCTAAGATCTAAACATAAATAATTTAAGCACAGTGCAATAATGGCACAGGTATTCCCATAAGGTAATAAAAGTGTGGCCTATGTGTGTGCAAGGTGTATGTGTGTGTGTGTTTGTGTGTGTGTGTGTGTGTGTGTGTGTGTGTGTGTGTGTGTTGGCTCGGGGGCTTAATATCTCAAGTCATTGACTGCAGGCACAACTCTGCAGCTGAGAGGCAGAAGAACATGTTGTCCTGCATCTCCACGTCTCCTGGGAGGAGAAAACCTGTCTCCTTTCCTGTGCTAGTTTTCTTGCTATTGACTTCAATTGTTTCTTTTCCTGTTCAGTTTGAAAGGATTTAGACTAATATTACTTATTATGAATACTATTATTTCCAATAAACAGAATGATCCCATATCATGAAACTGGATGTCTTCTGTCTTTAAATAAAGTTTTATTAATCGATTCAATATGGCCGCATAGAAAGTCAAGAGTCTCTCTGTGGATAAAAAATAAAGTTTATCAGTTTTCAACAGTGGATTAAAAAGATTAAATTATTTGTAGCTTTTAGAAGCTGCAAAATTACATTCAAGCTTTTACTCTTGTCCAACTTTGTTGGACGTAAGGCTCTTTTCTCTCTTACTTCCTTTATAAGCACCACATGACTGTTTTCACGCTCATATGCACCATCACGTGTCTGAAACACGATTTTCTCAATGAGATTCTTACTATTAATGATGGAGCCCGACATGAAGGCATCATTTTCTGCCAAAGTTGGAACAGTTTTGTTTATATCACTCGAGAGATTTCTGTGTTTGTCTGTTTTTTGTCTGTGCTCCCTGTCACTGGTTTGAGGTGGGTGGGGCTTAGCTGGAAAAACGTGAATCTCATGACTGTTGTGGGGTAGTTTGCTTATGTTTCCAGGTCACTGTCAGCCACGTTTGATCTTTTTTGGCTGTTTAACAATAAATAATACCTAATTATGTTTAATTTTTCAGAGGCTTTAAAAAGACAGTACTTACTTACTCAGTACAATACTTGAGCCTATGATACTGTAGGTCCTAACTCCAAACATCTAAGCACTGTATTGCAGCAAAAAATCCTTCCATAACAAAAGCCAATTTAAGAAAAAAAAAATTATAGCTACAAAACTCATTACAAAAAGTGATCCAAACTCAGCTTATTGCAAATTCAGGCAGCTTGTTATGAGCAGATCCTCAGATTTAACCCTTTAATGGAATAGATGTATGTAGTGCAGATTTCTATTTACATGGTTATCATGAAGAGACTTTTCTTGAAACATTCAGGAAAATCAAAGACATGACTATTTAGTGTGTAATAACAGCACACTATGATGCATTCAAGTTAAACCACAGGTATAGAGGTCACATTCAGTTTTTGTTTGTTTTTTCATAAAACACATAACACCACAACAACTGCAACTATATGGGATGTTTCCATCAGAAAGACACATTGACATTTGCACATTTTACATCGGTAACTCGACTGTTCTATTGAAATGTGGGTTTTTTTTCTGCTGAGAAAGAGCAGACAGCACCACAGCTGGATTTAGGATCTACCTGGACAGGAGATCATGGGATTACGATTTGTGTTCATCTATGGGAACATCCCTGACTAACTGCAGTTATTAATTATACTGCATCCATCAAATCAACTGAGCACGGCAGCACCACAAACAGCGAGCAGCCAGAACCAGGCTCAGTCAAGGAAGCAGGAAGTGAAGAGGAGAAAAGAGAGGACAGGCGAGGAAGAGTCGGTGGTTGGGAGGAGAAGGAGGGGGGCAATGAGAGGTGGCATGCAGGTCATTTAAACGCCAAGGCTGAAGGAATTGACTCTGTGTCAGCATCACTTGTCTGTAAACCGTGATGGTGACCTTGCTTTAACTGAAGAACCGTTCCCATCCCAGGCACCCCTTTCTCCCACTCTTTCGGTGCTGGGCAAGCCCTCAGGCTGGTTTAGCCCAGAGCGCAACTGGGCGCAACATGCCAGAGGGTGAGTTTATTGTACTGGACTGACTGTGTTGTTTGTGTGTAGTGATTTCATAGTGTCTGCATAATTGTTTCACAAGCATTTCAAGTGGATCTAATGTAGAAGCAAATGTATAAACTTAAGTTACTGTGTGTTTCCCAGGACAAATATCTTATTAAATTTGACAAATATGCACAGAATTTTGCTGATCTATGACATTTATGTTTTATTTATGTTTCCCTTACACTCCCAGGATGGACAAAGATCTTCAAAAAAAGAAAAAAAAAAAAGAAATAAAAAAAAAATCTGAATCAAATAACTCTTATAACTAAAAGAAAACAAAATCAGAAGGAAAAGCCCCTTAAAGCCAAACTTGTAAAAGCATGTGTCTCAAAGCTTCATGCAGCGTCAGTGTGTTGTCAAATTAGGCTTGGCAGTCTTAGGGAATTAAAAGTCTTAAGAAACAAGAAGGCAGTGTCATAGACTCTGAGAATTTGGATCAGTGTATGATCATGTTTTTCCCTAATAAATCTGTTCATTTCACAACTCATGATAAAGTCAACTCATTGGAAATAATATCTAAACTCTTGCCCTGTGTTATGACATTGTTTTGGAAATTCATTTGTATTTCACTTAAAAGGGTAAAAATGGAAAGATAGTTGTTGCATACCATAGCAGCTGTCCGTGTTGGACATGCGAGCCCACAAGACTGCCAGTAGACTGCTAAGCCTATCAAAAATGTATTGCTACCATTTTTGATTGTCATAAAACAAAAGTAAAAAAATCTAAAACATCCTCTTTTTAAAAGGAAAAAAAAATATAAGTACTAGAAATAAAGACAGCTAATAGGTAAATTATACTCAGCCTTAGTGTTTAAATGGGAATCTCACCTGGAATGACAGAAATAGTTTTCAATGCTCGGAGAACCCTGAACGTTCTCAGCGCCGAGACATTCCCAAGGTCCACAAACTCTGTTATATATCTGTAACAAGGTAGGATGACACACAGAACAGAACCCCATGACACACAACACACACAATAACAACACACACACGCACACGCATGTACGCGCAAGAGCACGACACCAGCACCACCATCGAAGACCAGGAGGGGACACCACGGTGAGAGAGAGAACGCCTGTCCGACCAGTGGGAAGAGAACGAAGGAGGAAGAGGAGAGGAGAGGGACTGAAACAAAACCACACCTAACATCAACCCCGTGACTCGCCCACCCGCAAACACAAACACCTGGACTGTCTTACCTGGGATAACTGAAATTGTTTTCAAAGCCCTCAGAACCCTGAACGTACGCAGAGCTGACACATTGCCTAGGTTTACAAACTCTGTTATATACCTGCAAGGTGGATCAGATACAGTTACTCAGCAGCCATCCCGAACAGAGGAAAGATAGAATAGATAGTTACATAATACTTTAATAAGCATTATCAAGGTGGTAAGATGGACTGATGTGGATTGAAGGTGCTGCAGGCAATTTTTGTTGACAATCGTTTTGCTATATTTAGTAAAAAATCATCTTAGATATTCCACCACAAATTATTAAATTCAGTGTTTCGGAGGGGGGAGGGGATTGTCTGGACATTTTTCAGCCCCTCCAAAATTTCAAAGTTCTTAATAACCATTTAGCTCTGTGCAGGAAAGCATGCCTACTGCCTGTCAATCACACATGAGCAACTCAGGCTAATCTTTACAAGGAGGAGAACAAATCCATATCCATCCACAGAGAAGATGACATGAAACAAAACACTGGCAGTTAAATTAATTTGGATAAGAAACTTAACATGTTTTAGGTTTATCAGTAACTACGAGACTGAGCTCAAAAATTTGTGACAGATATAAAAAGGATGAATTTCATAACAAGTGAAGTTGAGTGAAGCCTGGACAGAGAGTTACCACTTCAAATTCGGTATTTTTTTTGCTGTAAATGACATATACTGTAAGTGTTGATCAAAAATAGTTTTTCAGGTTGGTGGAGATTTTGAAGTTTGCCCACAGCAGCTTTTAGATGGGGGAGTACTGTCTTTGTCAGTGATGATGTGTCAGTATTAAAACCACCCCAGCAGACAGCAAAAACAGCGGTTTTGTTGTTAACAGGTTCAATCAAAGACAAAACGTTTGACAGATGTATGTTATGGCACCCACACCACGATGGAATATGTAAATTAGTCATTAAACTATTATGACTATCACTGCAATGTCTAATGTTTAGCATGTTTAGCTTAGCTTGGTTTGTAACATTTTTGTACCAAAATAAACATTTGGCTGTGTCTGAAATCACTCTGCCAGGGTAAAAATTTTGAGTGCCCTCAAAAATTCTCAAAGTAAATAATAAGAAATAAGAATATGCATTAATTCTGGCAAAAATAATCCCATAATGCAACACAGTAGCTTTTACTGCTCACTCTAAAACAAAGTGTTTTTTTTAAAGGGAGAAGTGAACGGGCTGACGAGGGAGTGATTTTGGACACAGCCTCTCACAGCAGATATTTGAACTCATCATAGAAGGAAAAGCACAGGTGTACCTTATCATAAGCCATAAGGGACCAGCAGTATTATTACACCCATGTTTAAGAAGACAGTGAGGAAGTTCTCAATTGGTTATTATGCAGCTATGCTTATAAATACATTAAATGATAAATATCATGATATTTTAAAATTTCATATTGAGATCTTTTCAGTTTCTTGTTTTGTTTGCAGTGCTTTTCACATGCGACCACACTCATTTTATGTAACTTTTAACTATTTACATATTGAATGAGTTTAAATACTTACGCCATTGAGATGACCATGAAATCGAGCCAGTTCCATGGGTCTCTGAGAAAGGTGAACCCATCTATACAGAAGCCTCGGGCAACAATTTTTGTGAGTGACTCAAACGTATAGATACCTGTGAAGGTATACCTTGAAAAAAAAAAGAAAGAAAGAAAGAATGAAGACAGTGAAAAGGTGACAGTCACATGAAACAAAGACATGATTGCTGAGGAGAAATATGGATGTGTACTTACTCTACTTGTTTGGACCACTCTGGGGGGTCACTAAATGTCATGAATATACAGTTGGTCAAAATCGTACACATGATGATCATGCTGAATAACGTGAGGAGACAAGTTAAGGAAAGTTTGAACGGTGCCTTAGACATTTAAACATAATTTAAACACAGCAACATCAGAAATAAAATCTTAATACTGACATAAAGCTTAAGGAAGAGGTCAGAGAGGAGAGAAGACAGAGATTTACAGTGCATTAAGTTCACTCACTATTCACTGACCACTTGTGATATAAGCACCAAAAAACCAAACTAGCCATGTTTAAAATACTGCATCATCTGTTTTTTCATTCACAGTAAAGCATAGAAAATGAATCACTTGAAAGGATATGAATGTATCAAAATCTTAATAGCTATACGCCTAAGTAGATTAAAAGGGCTTAAGATGTACAAGGAGGGCGTGGCACTGAAGCGGAAGATTGTTTTCCCTTTGTTTAGGACTATAAATGTCTGTGGGGAGAGAGAGAGAGAGAGAGAGAGAGAGAGAAAGAGAGAGAGAGAGATGGAGAGAGAGAGAGAGAGAGCAAGACAGTTAGATAAATTGCAGAATTAATTATATGGCACGTATGGTTCAGTACATGGTGTGCAAACCTTTTTTAAACAAAAGGGAGAGATGACTGTAGCTTGACTGTTGATTAGCTGAAGTGAGTCCTGAGCTCATTTCTGAGTCATGGGGCACTACTGCATTGGTTTCCACTATAGCTGCAGGGTTGATTCTCACAGTACAGGTGATACTGAAATCCATTTGAATGTGGCATTTTGATGCGAGTCCTCACAGTGTTGTCACTTTACCCATTTTGCAATCTCTTACCACTCCAGCATTGAGACAACAGTGTGCGAAGTACTTCATACTGTAATGATAATACAGTGCATAATACAGTGTATTAAAAATCTAAAGGTATGCAAAAGGAAACATCAGAGGCAGCAGGGACACGAGAGTGTTTTACTCCACTGACATTACTCCCTCTGTGGCCTGTCACCTGAGAACCAAGAGAACAGCTAACACATCTGTCCTGGTTGCATCAGACGGAGCCTCAGTCCTGGCGAGCTTTTCGCCACAACGGTAGCTTTGTGAGTCGCCTCAGAAGCAGCAGACAGGCGCATGGGAAGCTCTCCCCTCTTCATGGCCAAATGACTCTCTTCTCCCCAAGTTTAAAGCTCTTACTGGAAGAGAACCGCAAATGCTGTCATCGATCAGGGGCAGATCTGCTGACTCTAGGCTCTCAACAACCACTCCCCACCCATAAACAGTACTGGGCCAAGTGGGGCTGAGCAGTGGGGTGAGGCAGCAGTGTGTGTTTGTTTGTTTGTTTGTGCATACCTGTGTGTAGTTTTGTGGATGTTTTGTGCCCAATTTTGAACAAAAAAAACAACGTAGGGGTCAGAGTGAGAAGTATGAGCATCATTTACAAGCAAACATTTACAACTACTGCTGCTACCAGTGCTTCCAGTTTCTTTTTATACCTATAGGCATTACATTACATTTTGGTTCAGAGACGATTTATAAATGTGTGGTTTGGGTGAGAAACTGTGAGTGAGTTAGTAATGTGCACACGGCAGAGAGTTTTCCTCCTTCAGTGCTTCCTCTCGTGTATTTATGACATAACTGACAATGTTGGCTGCTGGTATTTACAGAAAACGTATCATGTCCTGTATGTGACGACTATTGAAGACCAATGTCGAGATCAACACATATCAGAAGTTATAATAATCTACTGTATATGACTTTGAATTCAGATGCAGTCAGATCCTTTGCATTGAACTTGAAAAGATAAACAGTTCTTGTATTAGGTTGATATGAATGCAGCTTCTGTGAATTGGAAAAAAATATATATATAAATAAATAAATAATATAAATATATGAATGAATATATGAATTACTTGTCTAGTTCGCATTCAAATAATAATATAACAATAACAATCGCTGCACTCACAAATGATAACCTGCTGGTGTAGAGAACATGCTTATAATAGAGGTAATTGGTCTTTAGTATGCATATGAGTAGAAATATACACACCACCAGTTTGTGGTTCACACCACGGGAAATACTAGAAAGAATGGTGGAGGCGACCAGAAGTGTCCAGAGACGAGTGGTGTCCTGAAATCTAATTAAGGTAAAAATAGCGTCCACAACGTGGGGAGAGACAAAATGTATTCTCTCCATCAGAGGACTCCTCCCCCCCCTTCACATCTCCTGTTCCTTTTTGCATGTAGAGAATCTACTTAAAATATCCTCTCAGTATTTTTCCTGTCACACAGAGAGAAGAATTATCCGTAGTTGATCGACATTATAAGGACAGGACAACACAGGATCTACAGTCATGTTCTCTCAGAGGTCAAGTGATGTGTTTCGCTGACCAAGCACATACAACATGTGGATAGAAGGAGAGATTGTAAAATGAGAAACATATCATTAGCAGGTTACAGACGCCTAGCATGCATAACTATCTTCCATTATGTTAATCAATGTGAAGCCTCAGATGGATTTAGCCAATGAATTTGTAGAGGTGGTGCTGCAGAGGTTTGCAGAGATGCACATGCTATCTTATAGAGAACATGTCTTCTTTGTCCTTTTTGAGTCAGAGTTTCAATGTAGGTCATCCTCTACAGCATATGGAAGATCACAAGTGTTCATAAAGATTCGCAATTCAACCACTAAGAGGCTTTAGTTAGTCAATGAACTGTGTCCATTTGGAGACAGAAAATTTGTTGATGCAAACTTGGCAACCTGGCACAATTGCTACAAGGGATGCAAATGTCAGGCAATTTCCTTAATTGATTGTCTGCCACACTGATCGATATCAATCAATGATTTAGGCTTATAAAATACTAAATGCACAACTTTTCTCAATACAGGCTTAATCGTCATGTGCTGTTTTCACAGCTCACTTTAAATCATAAACTAAATAAACACTAGTCAATTATTTTAATCAAAAGTGACATAAAAAGTAATAATACCAAAACTTTAAATGACTAAACAGAATAATTCTGTGCAACATAAAGGTTTTACTAGAGGACATAAAGTAGGTAAGAGTAGCCTACTAATGCCTACATCAAGCAGAAAAATAAAATGGGCTGCTCCTATCGTCTGAAAACAGACTGAAGTCTCACTTATTTCAGTTTAAGAATGTGAGTGGTCAGAGATTAATCATATGAGCAGTCTGTTAACAAACAAAATCATTTTTGTTATAGTCTGTTACAGAAGGAGCTACAGTGAGCTGGATAAATGAAGAGCTGCAGGCAAGAGGTGCATATTGTAATTTGGATGAACTCTAAACTCCGTCAATGTAAGTCAGCACCTTTGCTGTAGTATAGAAAACCACTCACTTATCACAGTCAGACGCAGTACACATGGCACACATGCCACTGAGCATAAATCCAAACACCCACACAATGCAAACACAATACTGTTCTTAACAATGATTAATTGATTTATTAATCACTCATTTCCCCAGTTTAATTAATTTCCCAGACAAATTCTGTAAAGTAGGTTGACAGACAGTGAAGTGGAGACACTGAACCCATCGTCTTTGAATTGAAAGTTTTGACTTTTGCAGCACATTTCAGTGGCATCAACGTATCATGAAGTGCACTGCGAGGTTTGAGAAGCTCACGATGAATTGGATAAACATACAGTCACATAGATCACAAAAGGCACTAGATCATAAAACACTCTACATGTAACACAAAGCCCTTCACACAGAGTGCACGAAGGGACATACACATATCACTATAACACTGATCTACCTACCGACTTACAGTTAAACACATACATACTTATGTATACACTCATGCATAAATACACAACTCAGCAGAGTAAGCTTCACTGTGAGGAAGCCTTATTTGCTGCAAAGCTGGAGAAATGTTCCTAATTCTCCACAGAGCTTTAAAGAAAAAGGCACATATGCAAGAATCTGGAGGCAGAATGCAGCTGCAAGGACTGTGTCTGTGTGTGCGTGTACGTGCGTGTACGTGCGTGTATGTGCGTGTACGTGCGTGTGTGTTTCTGTGTGTGTGTGTGTGCGTACGTGTGTGTGTGTGGGTGAGGAGGAGGAACAGTGGAGCAGGGATATGGAGAGGGGCTTGCAGGGGTATGGGACAGCAGCAAAGAGAGCCGAAGAGAGAGAGAGAGAAAGAGAGAGAGTGAGAGAGAGAGAGAGAGAGAGATGAGGGGGTGGAGGGGGAGTGATGCAGAACAGAAAGCCAGAGAGCTGCAGAGGGGAGAGAGCCAAACCTGAGATGGATGGGTAGACGGAGGGAGGAGGAGGACTGGGTAGGCATGCAGCAGAGACAGAAACTGAGAATGAGATGATGAGTGAGATCTAAGCGGAGAAACAATAGACAGTAAATCATGGGGAAGGGGGTGTTGTACTTCTCTTTATCATCCCAGGACCCCGGCCTGACACAGACCGGTCTATTACCTCACAAAACTGACTCCAGATTTGGTCTTTCTAACCTGTAGACCTAATAGAAGATTATAATAATGAATTGTAAAAACAACTGGTCGATTAATCGATGAGACAACGTGTAATTTTTTGGATAATTGATTAAGATATTTATCAAGACAAAAAGGCCAAACGTCTTCTGCTTCCAGCTTCTTTTTGTGGATTTGCATCTTCTCCATGTTTTATATCAATGCAAATCAAATACCCTCGGGTTTTGAAGTGTTGATTGGTTAAACAATTAATAAATTAATTGTAAAAATAATTAAAACAGTTGTTCACTTGGAGCTTTAAATGACCTTCATAAACAGGGATATACTGGGAGTCAGAAGCAACAGAAAACGTGACACACAAACAGCTTTAGCTGGATTTTAGCCTGGTCTGTCATGAGTATCTGATATGGACTGAGTGCATTTTGATTCAGTTTACAGAGAAGCACAAATATCATAAGTCGACTTCGACATTGTTCACTGTTAAACTGTGATGCTTTGTGACAAATCTCAATAGGATCTCAATAGCAGCTTTAATTTAATATCCATTAAGCATTCTAGCCTGAGAAACAACTTGTGTTCCTTTGTTTAAGCTCACTGCAGTGGGAACTTTGTCAGTAATGTCTCACCTAAATGACTGCAAACTCATTTCCCTGCAAATTATACCATACTATATGAAAAGAAAAATGCGTCATCACATTTTTTTTTTTTTTTTTTACCTGTATGTTGTGCTGCAAAACCCCATTTTCCCACCCTTACCCCACCCTCCTTCTTTATACCAACGTGGTTAGCAGTGAAAGCACACTCAGCCCCCCCACCCCCACCCCCCACCCCACCCCATCCCTTCCTCACTCAGCCCAGTACAGGAGGATGCTGTGTCATCAGAGACTGAGGACTCAGACAGAGCACTAAAGCCTGGCCCTCGCTCTAATTTACTACACCCTGAAAAAAAGAAAAAAAAAGAAAAGAACACCGGAGAAGAGGCGGCGGAAGGGAGAGGGAGAAGCAGAGTAATGGACAGAGACACACACGGAGACAGAGATGGTGGGATAGGGACATAATGTAATGGTGTGTACAGTGCTACATGCTGAGATTCAGATTCGACTGCCGCTTTAGCCGTGAGCTCCCCGTGTGCACTCACTAGTAGTTGCTGCCCTGCAGAAGCCTGAAAAGAAATGTCTGGTCCACTGCACACTCCTCTGTTATAAGATGGTCACCAAAATGCCAGAGTCAGGGAGAGAATAAGGCATTTGCATCAACAAAACGTGAACGCTGTTCAAACTTCGCTTTGTCCATACTGTTGTACAGCAGCCAATTCAAGCTGAATCATCTTAACTAATTTTCCATGTACATCAAAATCCCGCTTCCGTAAGCAAACACAGACGTGTGCACGTGACCAGAGCCAGCTAAAACACTAGTATGCCCTCCATCCATCCCGTCCTGCTCTTCCTGTATGACTACAGCAGCTTTAACATTGCCTAATCACATCAGACATTTGAAAAGCCCAGGCAGTCCTCTCCCCATCACAGGGGAAAACGAGAACTGCAACGCTGCATTTCTCTTCCTCACCACTGCCCCCTCTTCCTCTCTTTGATGCATGAGTGCTGTGATCAGGTTTCCTGCAGCTGACGGTAATACACACACACACACACACACACACACACACTTAGACACACTCATTGACATACAGTGGAATGGTGAGCGATAGGATGACTGTCGGTCGAGTAGAGGAGACGAGCAGCCTGGAAAGGTGAGGACACAAACAGCAGAGGAGGAATGGACGCTAAAACCATGAAGGTACTTCCTCAAGTGTGGTAAAGGACAAAGACATTAGTGGATTAAGAGATTGACTGATATGAATGGTAGTATGATGGACAGGAAAGATGAGGTCTTAGCCTGTGACTCTTACTGAGCTGATAAAACACATGGATGTCTATGATGAAGTTAGCAGATCTCGACTAAGCAGAATAAAGAGAAGCCAGAAGCAGAAACGTACTGTATGTAATATGGTATGGTAAGCAGTAGCCTAGTAGTTAGAATAGCTATGTAGCTGGGAGTCTAAAAAGCCTAGTATCCCATCCTGCCATTTTGAAAATCCCCTTAAAAACGTGCTGATTAGAAAGGCACCATAGCCACATCTACAACAGTCCAGCTGCTCAGAAGCCACAAAATAAAAGGACTGTGGCTGTGACGGGATTCTGCAGATTTGGTCTATGTGTACACTGCATCTACCTCTTCAGGTCATGGATTCATCTCTTCAAGATTAACAATATTTCGATATATTTTGGTAAACTGTCAGATGCCAATGAAGCACATGTTTACATTTCCAAAGAATCTAACCCTAAAACTTTTGGCACTTTTGTACCAGCTTATAGACTACTCGCTAATCTATAAGAGTGTGGCCATTGCCACACAATTATGACCAATAATCATTCAGAAATCATATTTATTTTGTGGGTGAACTGTCTCTTGTTTTGTAACACTGTCTATCTGATAATGTTGCTGTTATCATATTTCACAATGCTTGCCAATTTTGAGAAAAAAAAAATTGAAATGTGTTATATATTTAACATTCTAGACTATGTCATTTAAATGTACATGTATATGGCTGACATTATTATTAAATGAATATTTCAAACAAATTGTATATTTGTTTCATCATTTGAGGTCTATGTGATACAATCTTCTAAATCTGAGCTAACCAATTCAATTATGTTACCAAACTGCAGACAAATACCACTTTTGTTTAAAGGCTTTGAATATCAGTTAACTCATGATCCAGAAAATCATTTTCTTTGTGTGACACTAGGTCCATGGAGATAATGTGTGCATGAAAGACTTAAAGAAAGCAAACGGGGTCATTTACAAGACAATCATCAGCACAGTAAATGAGGAAAAGAGGCACATTCAGAAAGTCTGAGGGCTGGTTTATGTTCATGTTCATTGTCATTGTTTCTGTCATGTATAAGAAACAGTGCTTTGAAGCTTTGTGCACAAAAGTAAAATTGTACTTGAATATACTCTACTTAAGTGTTGGAAAACTTCATCCACATTTTTGTACACAGAGCCTAAGTTGCCATTCTGTTATGCTCTAATCCTATTTTTCACATACAAAATCTATTGGCTTTTTCACAACATGTTTAAGAACCTCCAGTGTTATGTATGAAACGACCTGTACATACAATTATTCTATGGTAATGCTAAGGAAATGGAGATTTTGTTTGAGCTACAACAGGTCCTCAACAACTTCAGTAATAAAACTACTCCATCAAACTGGACTTAGAGACAGAATCACTGTTTTTTTTTTTGTTTTGTTTTACTACAAAACCCTAAAAGATCCTGACATCCTGATCCATGACTTTCAATCCATGGCGTTTGAGTTGCGGCCATGATGAACAACTCCGCAGCAACTTTCCTTCCATCACCAAAGAGAGATACCACAGGGGGAAGTAAGAAGAGGTAAAGAGGGGAAAGATAATAAGACAAGAATGCAACCCTTCCTGTGGCCACCACTGAACTAGGGCTGTGGATCAATAGATCACAAAAGGCACATACACTTGATAGTTTCATCCACCCTATGAGGGAGCGCTACTGGCTGAGACGACCAGTCCTGCTGACTGGGCTTCTTGCTCCTGTACAGGCCGCAGATTCTCTTACACATCAGCACTGCCACCACACAGGAGGCTGGCTACTCCTACACCAATAAACAGCTGAAAGTACTACAGCATGCTCCTGCCTTTTTCTTTCCACTTCCTTGTCCTCTATTGCATTCTTCTGCCTTCACCACTCATTCCCCTTTGGTAGTGCAGAGCTACAGTTAGGGCAGAGCTAAGCTAGAGTTGTCTCTAATTAATAAAAAAATAAATAACTCTTTGTGTCATCTGCACCTGTATCACATTAATTCAGAGGGTGATTTTTTAGATGCAGAAATGATGTGACTGTGTGTGGCATGTCTGAGGTGAAAAATCACATTATGATTTTAAATAACAGTAAGATTGAAGTAACACTGATATGACCTTCAACGCTGATACATAACAACCTTTTAAGACGTGAGTTTCGGATGTGCTTATCCGTTTTAAATCTCTCAAAAGTACTGTGAAACACCAAACTCAAAAAATCCTACAGAAACAAAACAGAAAAGGAAAATATCTGTACTCTAATGAAAACATGGTTGCAGCCTATAAAAAATAGTGGAGATAAATCATATTTTCAGATCCCTGTGTTGCTAGAAATTTGTCACCACATGCATGCACACATACAGTGCAACCACAGCTTAAAATTATTACTCTGCTACCCTGATGAAAATGCCACCTTTTCAGACAATTTGTTGGATAGAGCACTTGCAATCTGAAAGTGTGTCTTGTCACCAAATAATTCAATTAGCAAAAGCATTGACTAGCTTCTGAACCTAAAGGCAAATCTGTCATGCCCTCCAGCTGTTGCATCATTTTAACCACTCATTAACACAGATAATCAAAACTGCAAAAGCTACTGTAGTTTATATATATATATATATATATATATATATATATATATATATATGAGGCTAACCCCTGCCCAACAACTGCGTTCCACAGCAGCCCTGCAGTGTTGCAGGAGCAGAACAACGACGTGACTCTGCCTCAGTTGTGCTTTGATTTTACAGGTGTAGCCTACTAAAAAAAACCTCACAGGCCTTGTATGATCTCCCTGTGCACCCGAATAATGCAGTGACTGTCTCTGAGGTAAAAAAGTACTGAAAAGCTCTTAAATGCTTCAAGGTCATCTTTGCTATTATGATACCCCTCTCCCTGTCGTGAATACAATAACTTTCATTTTGACTGAATTGATATGAGACCTGAATCTCTTATGACAGTGAATTTTATATTAACTCTATGTATTGTGCGGTTAGTTTGCAGTGCTGGAAGATTCACGTGAGAGAAAGGTAAAGATTCAGCCCAGCTGAATAATACATCTGTAAAGGTTTATAGCAATTTCAAAGTTCTAACTATCTATAAACCTCTCACCGACATTTAGCAAATGCAAAGTTGAAGAAAACTGGGGGGTGCATTTGGCCAGTGGGACAACTCACTTTCTTGTTCAAATAGAATGGGTCCAAATCCTCCAGCGGCGTGGCCGCCAGTCCATCAGGAATATCGCCGTAGATGAAGGGCAGGCTCTTCCCAGCCTCCAGGTCACTGTTGGGCTTGGGTTCATTGTCGTCAGATGTGTCGCGGTGACTACTGTCCGATCTGGGCTTGGGTGGCTTCTTGTTCTTCTCTTCTTTGATGCGCTTCTCGATGTTAGCGAGCGTCTCTGGGGTGAATTTCTTGAAGCTGTCAGGTCCTGGGGGTGCAAGAAGGGGTGCGGCCATGTTTTCATCCTGCAGCTATTTCCTCTTTATTTGTTTTCCATCCCAGACATCCAGCTCTGAGAGGAAGAGAGGGACACAGAGTGAGAAAGTGAGGACGAGTGAGCACAAGAATCTGAGCAAAGGAAGCGATAGATGAAACGAAATGAAAAAAGAAGAAAAAATTCATTCATTAAAATAATATAACCTAGTTTTGTTTTGTTTTTTTGTTGTTGTTTTTTTATTGTCATTTTATCCAGTGTCATTTTATGAATAAAACTGACTGGACAACAAAGGGTTATGATTAAAATGGTTGACATATTTATATTGCAGTCCACTTGGTTTGCATCTCTTTTCAGTTTCAGTCTTGCTGAAAGCCCCACAGATTGAAGTTACTAGTTCTGCCAGAGAAAGCAAACAAAGCAAAATAAAGCCTAAAAAGTGCAAACTTTTGGAACATGGGCCAGTCGGCACTATTTCTGCTCTCTCAACCTAAATGACCAAAGTACTGATCCTGTATCCCCACAAGCTAAACTTCGATACCCAGCACATAAGACAGCACTGAATTCCCTTTTGCCCTCACCTTTGTGACCCCAACAGCAAGGAGGAAGTGACAAGTTGTCGCTTCTTGCAGATATGCTCAAAAACTCTTTAACCCAACTGGCACTCATCTGACTCTCTTCCTCACAGGTATCTGACATGACATTTTGCAGTATTTGTGACTCAGGGATATTTCTGTTGTACCTCTGTTCTATCTATGCAAGAGGCAGCATCAGAGTCGTGGCTTTCTGGGAAGCTCCATATTGTTGATAAAATGACACTTTGTGATATGTAATGAGTTGGTAGCACCGCTGGCCTCAATGAGAAACAGGTATCCATCCATAGAGCTGCAAAAGCTGTATGCAGCTTCCAGCTCATTGTTTTGGTTTGGAGGTCTCTATGGTTTAGTTAAAAGGTCTCTCACTGACAAGTATAAAAAAAAAAAAAAAAAAAAAAAAAAAAAAAAGGGAAAGCAGTTCCCAGCACACAGGCTAACACAAGCATCTTTTATGCTATGCTGCAAAAATGACAAGGAGCCTAAGCAAAAGAGACCTAGATATTAGTGCTTGATGTGAAAGTAAATTTAGAGGAGTTTAGTGTGAGGCTACATGTTCACTATAAGAACTTAATAAGCTGATATTGTATATCAAGGCACATTGTTGTAAATTTGTTTTGGAGTTTACTTCTACCATCCACTTATCACATCCATTATCATATAAATTATCATATAAATTAAATATGAAGCAGAGAAATTAATGTGACTGAGGTTTGTGGTGGAATGGACTGGGTGGGGCTTGCTGCATGACAATAATACAAATGTTGACAGTTTTCAAAGAACAGTGGGCTGAGCTGAAATTAAAATACACTGACTGCAATCAGAAACATTTGCTGTGTCTGTTCCTCTTGCTGAAAATCTCATCCATCTGTTTCTTACAGTGTTTTGTTTTACAAATGTCAACTGGCCTACATCCTGTACTGACCAAAACAATGACTCTACACAGGACAATGTATCAATTATTCATTTACAAATAACTAAACATAAACTATTGAAGTGAGGAAGAAATAATTGCTGGGCTTTTAAGTGGAAGTTATTCAACCTCAGGGGCTCTGACTCATTGTTTAAGCAGTAAGGTTATAATAACATCATCAACTGCATCTCTCCAGGCTCCTACAACAGATGAATTTCACTCCTCAGCTGGCTGGTGGCCATGCTGTTTGATACAACATATTTGACAGTCAAGTCACAGCTCATGCTCCCAAAAATTAGACAGTGTGAGCAACATTCAAGGAAACAATGTTCAAGGGTACAGACCTGGAAATGAATCAGAAAGAAGTCAGGAAAAATCCAGTGGCAGAGAGAGATCCAACAACACTGTATCTTCAAGAAAAAAACGCAGCCAACCAGAAGAGGGATGAATTCCGATTCAAGTTACCCAACCTCGGCACAACCTCCAAGTCTCCTTCCACCAATGCCATATCAATTGATCTACCGTGAAGGTGATTCAAACCAGGATGCAATACCATGGCCAACAGTGTTTGTACACTTTACACATAACGCTGGAACACTCCTTAAAAAAAAAAAAAAAAAAAAAAAAAAAAAAAAAAAAACAGGTGCAAAACTGAGAGGCGACCAGAGGAAAACTGCATGAAATTTTGCAGATGCTTCTTTATGTCCACCAACTTACTAGGTCATATGAGAAACACTGCATGAGACCTAACAATCTGACTTGCACATTTTAACTGAAAAAGACTGAGATCACTCAAACAATTACAGAGTCCCTATTAGCACATTTCAGGCCAAAACCCGCTCTGAGTTCAGTCAAATCTGAGCCAAGTGAGTCCGGAAATATTAAGATAAAATAAAAAAAAACTAAAAGGTGACAGAGAAAATTAACAACTCCAACAGCCTCAATTTGCCTTCCAGTGAAAAAAAAGAGATAAGCTTGTCGCTGTCCGCTTCAGCAGCAGCAGCAGCAGCAGCAGCGTTTAGCAGACTGCTCTGACGCTGCGTCCTCTGCGCGGAGCAAAGACATCCCAAAAGCCTCTGTCCCGTCACCTGGAAAAATCCTTTATTCTGCTCTGTGCACCCTGATGATGACCTGACATCTGATGGAGCTGACCGGACACCGCGGAGACACGGCGCTATGTGAGGAGGAGGTGTAGGCTATAGGGCACTTGCATCAGAGTCACATGGGCCCGGCAAAGAACTTAGACATCCTCCATTCCCTGCAGTGATATTCTGATGCTGCCTGTCGCTAAATATAAGATGTCAGCTCAGTCCACATCCACAGACCACTGAGAATAGGTGAGCCCTGCAGGCCCGAGTCCAGCATTACTGAGAGAATAACTTGGCTGCCAGATTTCTTTTTTTTTTTTCTTTTTTTTTTAAAGAGGCCTCACATAACCTCTCATCATATACGAGTGGATGCCACCACTTTCTCCATGCCTGAGCTGAGCCACATTCAGGTAAAGTTGAGTTATGACGACCTGACTGGAAATTTTCATGAGTTATGATAATTAAGATTTACCATTAGGCAATTTTTTTTGTTTGTTTTTAATCAGAGTATAGGCAATGAGAGAGGGATGAAGACATTAGAAATTATGGAGCATATAGGACATCAGGCCACTGTAGAGATAAGCACACATAAAGAACTTTCTCCCTGCGTGAGTTGAAGACCACCCACTCCCCTTCACGTTATTGTATGTTGCATCATGTAAATGCCATTCATTGACTGAGAGGGATTTGTAGTTTTATACCGAGGCGCGCCGTTCTCCTATAGGGCCAAAGCCTAAAATACTGCAGTGTGGTTTATTGCTGCTATAGGCTCTAACTAACTAACTCATAGTAGGTCAGCTGAATCCACCAGACATGACAACTCGTCGCTGGCCTCAACTCAAAGCAACCTACAGCACATCAGCACAACCCAGTTTCACATCCCCGAAAAAGTGAAATTATTACAGCAAAAAAGAGAAACTATAACTGCCTATGAGGCTCCACCACACCCGGATAGATAATGTCTAGGCGCCGGAGATCCAGAGACTCCATATGATGCAGCGTTACACAGTGACAACATGACGGGGGATTTTGTTTTTAAATGGGGGACACTGCGTGAAAAGAGCAGAAAAGGGTGCCGCGGCCCCTTTGAGGACTGCCAAACTAAAGAACGCACCCTACCTCCCTCCTCACGAAATACAGTAACAAAAGAGATTGCAAGAGGGAGGGGAGGGGAGGGGGGGGGGGGTGCACAGAGGTGGAATGTGGGGGTGGGGGGGATAAAACTATCATAGTCATAAAATAATGGTGGCGAGAAAACTGCTACGTAAAACGATTTTGCAAACGACGCATTACTAGTGTATCGGGAGCATACATGGTAGTTACAGTCGCCACTCAGAGAAGTTTGACGTGATCTCACTTTGATATCCCATATGCGTATGTTTCACATTCTGACACAGTGAAATGTTATTCCATCCAGCGGCAGGCCAACACCCCAAATAACCTGCTGTCTCCCTCTTTCCTACCGCGTCGCATCACAAGTCCATGTTTCCCCATTTGAAAATCTCATCTTCCCTACTTCTAACTGATGCCTCGCATGTACATATTTGTCCATGTACTGGCAAGGAGCCCTCCACAGACGCTAGGAAAAGATGCTGAGAGAGAGGGACCGCTCTGCGGCACTGGGATGCAGTCAGTCGACAAAGTAGCACTGCGATCCATCCCACGACAAAAAATATCAGACAAGGCAGAAAACAGATTGTCTACTTACTTTTTCTCGCATTAACAGAAATCCAGACAGCTGTCACTGAACTGCAGATGTAGGAAAGAGTCGGGAGTAACTGCGGCTGTCGCCATATTGTTGCTGCTATCTTCCTTCCCAGTGCGTGCGGCTACCCTGCATAATTGATGACTCTCAGCAAATTGTTAGGGAGTGTCGGTAAATGCCTTTAGTTTCAATAACGGACAAGAGACCGCAGCATCGTAAGCAGAAAAAAAAACCCTGTTCACTGTTCATGTAATAACAGTAATTGATATTCTGGTTGGGTTTGTTATTAGCAATATATTTGTTTTCATCTCTATCTGCTATGAAAATACATAAAGTGTGTAATTCCATATTATCTTTAGAATTAAACCTGGAAGTTATAAGACACATTTTTGACAACTCTGAGTTTATAATGAGTGTTTATGTAACCTTTAAAACACAAGGTGATGGTAGGAAACCTAAACCCTAATGTTTGTTTTTTACAAAGTTTTAAATGTGTGTATACATATAGCTTTTCCGAAGCTTTTTACATTTTGACTTGTCACAGTTGGGAAAGCACAGGTACTACTAACATTAGAATTCATCCATCGTCAATTTTAATATTCACACCTGCCAAAATGCCTTCCCTGAAAAAAGTGTATTACTGTAAGAAACATTGTCATTAGATCCATACAGTGTACTAAAGCCCTGCTGACAACATACTAAATCCTATCAAGATCCATACTCTGGTATTCCCCCTTAAGCATAAGATGTCTACTGTAAAAACAATATGATACATAGGAAGGTTGTGAGACAAACCTCATAGGCTTAATGTCTGCCCTACACAAATCAAAATCCTGCATAATATACTATACAATGAAACATTGTAATGCGTATGATGCAGGCAAAATACATGGACATTTGCCCCATTAATCCACAAAGCTGGTTATTCAGTGGTTCACAGTCAGCAAATTGGTGCTATATGGCGCCATATATTATTATCTATTCTATAAACCACTTGAATTCCTTTGTTTGTGACTCTAACTAAAGAACCACTGTGGCACTAATAGGGCCACTTAGTGTTTTTGTTGTAATAGTTCTCAAGTCAAAGTCAAGGGGAAATCTACATTTTAGTACTGAGGAAGTATAAGCATTATCTGTGACTGGAACATGTCAACCTTCATGAGGTTTCAACCCTTACTTTAATGAATACAGTTCACTCTACACCATGCTGTCTTAAACAGACAACCAATAAAAGTTTATCAGGGTTATTCAAGAGGCTGGTTTTTTAACTGTATGCACATTTTCAGACTGTTTTTGCTGTACCATAAATGGTCTATAATGTCTGTAGCTGGAGAAGGTGATGTTTGTTTGTTCGTAAGGATTTGAGAGTACCAACATTGTGACCATTCCACTGCTCACACTGAGTCACTGAAATAAGTCACTTTCAACATATTATGGCCCCTAGTCTATAGGCTTCACCCTTCAAAATACAGGGTTTGGAGGATTTTATACAGGAAGTGTTTTGAATATGACCCAACAATGTCTCTATCTGGTGGACTTTTGAAGAACTGCACCTTAATGTCTACAGGAAGTCTAACGCTTGGCATGCATTTTCATTCGTTAAGCTGCTTTTCAGTTCAGTGTTCTAGCACATTTCAATATTGCAAGCATGGGAAATATTTAAGAAATGAAATCCTTTACCTTGTCTGACTTGAAGTCGGACTTAGGTTGTAGAGGAGCTAGGGAGAGGGGCTTCTAGGTTACCCTGGATAGCGTTGCAGCACAGTGACCCGGCCCCTGGCAGGTGGCTGAAAATGGATGGTTAAGCCAAAGTATTGAATAAAAATATGTTTTACAAGACAAAGGGATTTAAGGATGTGGACTAACTATTAAATCTGGCAAATGCATCTCAAATAAACTTTCTCATCCTCAGTAAAGAGCAGCACGCAGCCACTATGAAAAGCTCTGCCATAGCAAGCATCCAGGGCTGCTCCCAAAAAGGATCACATTAAGGTATAACTACCTCTGTGTCAATTTCATGACAACTGAGGAAACTGTCTGCTGATGGAGACTATGTGATACAATCGAAAGCTTCAGAACAACAAACACATTTTTAGCTGTACTGTATGTAGGTTCACTGGCCTAAAATCGGGTGGACAATGTTTAGAAAGGACTTCAACATCTATACTGTTTACCAAATAAGAATGCAAATGCCTTCAATAATGTATCAAACTGATGAAGTGGCTACATGTAACCTCTATTAGTTTGACTACAATGACAAACACACCACAACAGCTAACCAGCAAACACTTCAGCTCTGTGGACCATTTTCTTTTCCTCTTTTATCTCAGTGTTTTGATTTGATGGTCTGCAAATTTACTCTTTGATTCAGTCTCACAGCAGAACACACAGATGGCAGACCAGTCTACATGGCAGTTAAACGAACTTACTGACTAATATTAGCTACCTTGTGTGGACTTTTACCCCCAGTATTTTCTGAGAAGTTGATGGAGACCTAAATAGAGCTAAAAGGAGAGTGGATACTGGATGGGGGGTTAAAAATATGATTCTAAAAGAGTTATTGTCAATCAAAGTGGCAAAAAAATAACAATAAATCAGCTTCAATAGTAAAATGGGGGGCTTAAACCTCAGTGTTTCGCTAGTTTAAAAGTGGCTATAATCAATATTTGAACTATAATTATGAATCAATTGACAATGTGAAAACAATAGGACAAAGTAAAAGGGAACGTGAAAGATGAATTTGCAGATAATTATCACCTGAATCTGCAGCTCCTCTCAGCTTCATGGCAAGTTTGTTTAGCACTCCGGCCTCAAATACGCTGTTGGCTGTTTTGGTTCACACTCATGGCTTTAGCATCGTTTTCGGGCACAGGAAGCAGTTGTTTTCAGCGAAAGAGCTGTAAAAAGCCACTGTATCAGTTATAGCAGGTTTAATGGTACTTTAGGCAACAGATTGTACGTGAAGTTTGGGCAACCAAAACACTAGAGTTAATGAATTAACTCTGAGCTAGCTAACTCTGTAGCAATACTCTACTTCCTGTAATGTTAGCCATGAAATATGTTCCCATAAAGTTTGCAGTTTCGTCCATTTCCCTTTTAGAATGGACTTCAGCTGTGTCATGATGGATTTCTTAGTTTTAAATAAGGTTTCGCAACAGTAGTAGCATAATACAAACAAAAACACAAAAACTTCCTTTGCACTATTGTTTTCGGCTTTTATTTTGAAAATTTGCACCGGACTTGCCGTGCTCGCTCATCTCTTACTGTGACTAACAGCTCGGTTTGGTTTAACCACAGTCTGCGTTCGCTGCTGGTCGCCAGGAAGGTCAGGGTCAGCAAATATGTCTCTTCTAATGAGATTTTTCACTTTAGTTGTCAACGTGCTCTGCCTGCCCCTTCATGTGATACACGCCGTCGGCCTGTATGAAATATACAAACGTGTCTTCCCAATTTGTCTGTACCGGATTTCTATAACGTACAACAAGAAAATGCACGACAAGAAGAAGGAGCTGTTTCGCAGTCTGCCAGAGTTCATCAAGCCTGGCGGACAGCTAACACTTTTGGAAATCGGCTGCGGCACCGGCACAAATTTTGAGTTTTATCCGCCCGGTTGCAAGGTGATCTGCACTGATCCGAATCCTCATTTCCAGAAATATCTGGATAAAAGCATGGGCGAAAATGACCACCTCACATTTGAGAGATTTGTGGTGGCATCGGGGGAAGATATGGGGTCAGTTGAGGACGGATCGGTAGACGTTGTTGTCTGCACCCTGGTGTTGTGCTCTGTCAACAGCATACCGCAAACTCTGCGAGAGGCGCACCGTATCCTGCGGCCAGTAAGTTGTCTTGCTACTGAAATGGCCAGTGGTTCACATTTAGTTTATACCCATCAAACACGCTGATTTGCAACCACATCCTGCATCATTAATATATGTATTATATTATTGAGGCTATACTGTTCTAATAATAGCTTGACTTAATATGAATAGTGCAAAGTGTGGATTCATCGCTCACCATAGGAAGTTAATGACTAACTAGATTAACAAAAAAACTAGTAAGTTTCCTTTGCTATAACATTACATTTTATGTACAATGTTTAAAAGTCACTTTTTACTCTACTGTTTATATTCAAATAGCTACAGGAGTTTTATATGTATCCAAAACTGAATGAAGACTGGAAACAATAAAAAAGGAGATTTGGAGTTAAAGTTCACAGAATCCAAGTGAAAAGTCCAACTGATGAATTGCCTGGGCCAATATTAGCTTACATATATCAGCCAATATTAGCTCATTGCAGATATATCAGTATAGGAATATATGTTGGCCCATAAGAAACAAGACATTGCAGTACAGAAATGTCATAGATATGTTTGAGGTAGAGAAAGTGTCCTTATCACATAGTTTGTTCCCCAGAGAGCACAGACAAGTTTATTCTGCAATTGTAAAATGTCCCACTCACTACATTTCTTGTTTTAAAAACTAATTTTAGGAAATACTTAAAGTGACTTCAAGTTTCTTTCCAGGAATACTCCAAAAAATGTTGGAAACATGTTAAATTTTTAAAAAGAATGCTAGCTGATACATCAATATCAGATTTCTCTCAAAGATCAATATATTCAACTTAGTTGTTAATTTTTTGTATGTGATGAAAGGATCCTTAGTTATCTAACAGGTGGCCTCAGGGTAATCAGAAAACTACGAAACATATTCACTGTAAAATGTGTATGTAAATGTATGTAAATGATCAATCTGCATCAGGTGGAATTGATATATTTTTTTAATTTGCATGGTATATACATAACAATTTGTGCTTTGCAGGGTGGAGCCTTCTTCTTCTTAGAGCATGTCGTTGCAGACGCCTCAACTTGGGCATACTTCTTCCAGCACGTTCTTCAGCCTGCATGGTACTATTTCGGTGATGGATGCGAGGTCACCCGTGACACGTGGAAACATCTGGAGGCAGCTGGATTCTCTGAACTCAAACTGAGACACATTCAAGCTCCATTCCTGTTCTTAATCAAACCGCACATTGTAGGCTATGCTGTAAAATAAACTGAGTCAAATTAGCTTTGTAGTAAGCCGACCTCACAACTAGTGTGTGAATATGCCAATCACTTAATGCCTCTCCTCTCCATTGTCATGTGATTGATCACCAGTGATAGAGATAATAGTCACTTTGATACTAATTTTATTTTTCTACTGAAAGAAACTTTCAGTGTTTATGTTTCGGTAAGACAAATGATGTTAACACGTTGAATAAGCACCTTACATAGACAGCACACAATATTGATTTTGTATATTGATAAGGTTAAAAAATGTCTTATGTTTTTTTATCTCTGTCCTTCATTCCTCACTCCCAAATTGCTTGCTAATAAATCAATCTAATACTGCCGTAGAGAAGTGCTCTCTGTCAGAGTTTATCTGTGTGCTACTGCTGTATTGACAGTATTTGTAGACTGCCTTTGATGATCTGACACCTATGTACATTTTGTTGTGATTAAAGTGATTCTGTCAAAATGTTAGTGATTAAAGAGTTGAATCCTCTGGTATAATCTTTATATTGTTCTATTGTATTACTCCATATTAAACAAAATTGAGATTAAAAAAAAGGAAGGGGGAATTGGGGCTTGTTACATATCCCACACATGCAGATTTGTCTACTCTCGCAACGGTGTGGTGAGGCATTGACGCTCAGGTATTACAGAGTAATCTGTTGATCTTCTAAAGTCGCCTGTGTGAAAATGCTCTTAGCTAAGCTCTGTTTAACATCCCCTTAGAGGAAAATGAAGACGTGTCTTATGAAATTCTGCAGAATACTTTGCTTTGCATTGACTTTGCCCTTACAGCTAATGGAGGTGACAGGCCTGTACGGTATGTACAAACGTTTGTTCCCCCTGCTTGCCTACAACATTACATTTTCGTACAACGATAAAATGCACAAGACGAAGAGAGATCTTTTCCGAAACGTGGGCAAATTTGCACACAGCGACGGGACACTTCGCTTGCTGGAGATCGGCTGTGGCAGCGGGGCGAACTTCCAGTTCTACCCATACGGCTGCACGGTGGTGTGCACTGACCCCAACCCGCACTTCGAGAAGTACCTGCGAATGAGCATGGAAGCAAATAAGCATCTGACTTACGACAAGTTTGTGGTTTTGTCTGGAGAGGACATGAAGGAAGTACAGGACGAGTCCGTGGACGTCGTTGTCTGCACCTTGGTTCTCTGTTCTGTCAGCGATGTGCAGCAGGTGCTGCAAGAGATCCGGCGCGTCCTCAAATCAGTGAGTCTCCATATGCTGCCTTCACGTGCGGTTGGAAATATTTTTATTTGTGAATGTCAATGAGCCCTGGGGCCTTTAACATTTTACTGCTATTTTATACATTTTTTTCTGTTATAAAGTCATCTTCCACAATGTGAAGTGTGTACATATATGTACTGGGTTGCAAAAAAGGAAAAGTTGAACATTGAACCCATCACAGCAAAAATGAAGTGTTTCTGTGAGTATTTGACTGGGTTGTTGTTGTTGTTACTGATGACTTGAAGCCTAAAAACACTTCCTTGGGCTTTCTGAAAAGGTTGGGGATGGGCTGTCCTCCATGCTGAAACAAGGAACTAGATCAGTCCCACTTCAACTGTCACATTGCAGAAATTGGAGAAGGATACAGTGCTTTTGTTTATCATTTGTGGGGGACTCTCTGAAGGTGGTATTTCACATGAAGGGATTAAATTATGTATTTGACTGTTGACATTGAAGATTTGGTCTTGGTTTTCTCTGCTTTCTACTATTTAAGATATTTTTCTCCAGTCACTTTTGATTAGTATCAGAAATTTGAATGATTTGAATGAAATTTGACATTTACTTCAGGATGTAAACACACCCATAGCAGGAATCCCTCTCCTCTGCCCCTCTTTATGCCTTAACCAATAACAGCTAGGAAGTCAAGTTCAGATGATGTATATTAACAAAGTAACATAACCAGATTTGATTGGAAATGCAATAACCTGGTTTTGCTGGCTCTCTCTTACAGGGTGGAGCCTTCTACTTTTTGGAACATGTTGTCTCTGATCCGTCCTCCTGGACATACTTCTTTCAGCATGTACTTGAACCTCTGTGGTACTATCTTGGGGATGGATGCATGGTTACCAGAGCAACATGGAAAGATCTAGAGGCTGCTGGTTTCTCTGAACTTCACCTAAAACAAATTGAGGCTCCAGAGGTTACTTTAATGATAAGGCCACATATCATGGGATATTCCATTAAATGACTGCAGGGAAGAATGGACAGATGTTATTTTTCCCTGTGTACATCATTTAGTGGGTATATAGTATTTTCACTCTAAACCCAGTCATTAGTCCCTCTGGGAATATTTTACTTCCTGCTAATGCCTTATATTCTTACATATTTAGTTTGTCACCATAGACCTCATGTCATGTTCGTTGGTCCACAACTAACATTTATGTCAAAGTACCGAGTCAAAATTATGTCTGCAGGTTTCACATTATTAATTGCATTCAATCAATGAAAGAAAAATCATATAGTGGCCAAAGGTTAAAGAAAACACTGTGTGAGCACACCCCTGTAGGTGTTTCAGATATGTTTTCAGTTACAGTGAACAAAAGTACATAAGCCACAGTACATATTTTGAGTGAAAATATATTTATTTTCTTACAGAATCAGCAACATTTCATACACGGTTTGTTCTTCTTCCCCACCCCTCCCAAGATGTACATAATAAATATTACCTGGACACTGTGCTTTTTCCCTGATTGTCTAAGTAACTGCCAAGAAACAACCAAACAAACCACCCTCAATGTCATCTTTTCTGTTACCCTTTATATTCCATTGCACAAAAATAAGGAATGACAATTGTAATGGAGAAATGAGGGGAATTGCTGGTTCACAAAATAAAAAGGAATAATGTCTGTGTAGTAATTATACAGTCAAAATTCTGCAGATGCTGTTAGAAAAAAAAAAAAAAAAATTCCAACAGCAACATTTTTAAAAACACAAGAGAAAAGGAAGGATACATTTAGAAACTGAGACTCAAAGATAAAGCTCACAATTTCAAACCTCCCAGTATTAAAAATGTACACAACTATAAATGTTATAGCATTAGCAAATTTTTAAAAAACATCAGGTGGAAAAACAGCCAATTTCTTTTTTTATTTGTTGAGTAAATCTCACTGCGATCATAAGTCACTTTTATATCAAACAGAGTAAAAAACAAAACCTTGAGGATCTCAGCCTGAAATGAAGTGTTCCCAGAAACCCCAACATGTCCGAACGGCTGAGCTGTGCCGCTGCCACATTACGTCTCAATCCTCGTCTTGTATTCAAACAAGTTATCCCGTTTTAACACAATAAAGGTCCTTTAATGTTTTGAGTTCTTCAATCAGGGTCTTGTTTTGGTTCTCAAGAACAGCTACACGGTTTTCCAAGCATTTAACATATTCCTTTTTTTTTCGTCGACATTCACGGGCTGCCTCTCTGACAGAGGGAAGAAAAATGTGCATTTAGTCCAACTGAAGGATCATGCATTTAGAAATGAATAAGTAACAAATACATGCTATTTCACAATTATGCACAAACTTTTTTTTTTAACTTCATCTAGTTTGTTTCTGGTGTAATAGTCCTCCTGTACACTGTTCAACACTACAGAGAGGTCAGCAAGTGGCCATTCAAAAAGGATGATTAATGATGTGTCAATGAAAAATCAAAGGCAACGCCCAGGGTGGAGCAGTGTTGTATACTTGGATTTATAACATTCCAACAACAAATATTTGAATCAGGTAATACATAGATCATTCAACACTACAATGTTGAGATGAGCATTAATTACAATCAACACGGTAATCTCCTTTACTGCATATATCTGATAATTTATGATTATTTTATGTTTTCCAAAACATAAAGAAACTGTGCACTTACCTGTTTTTTGCAAGCCTGATTTCTCTCTTAAGTGTTGGATCATCAGTCTTGCTCTGAGATAGTCCCACAGGAGAGGTCATAACGACAGTCTGAGGCAGGGAGCTGGATGTGGGTGCTGCTCGGATCTGGTATGTTTGTACCTCACCTCCTGCACCTGAGAGAAACCCGAGAGTAAAGGCACAACAACAGGGGTCATAAGAGCTCTGCCACGCAGCATGCATTACTTCAGAGATCTTACTTAAAAGATTAACCACACCATTTTTCTATTAGTAAATACTGAGACAACAGTTTTTAAACCTATGTAAATGTCCTGTTCATCGTCTTGATCAAAGTAAACGGTAGAATTAGCACAAAGCTACACAGTACACAATAGCAGGTTTTCTAACTCATATAGTATCCACTTGCACAAATTTCATCGGCCATGGCATGCTGGTTTGTTGCAAGATACTGTGCCACTGACTATCTCAAAGACAAACACATTTTTGACATCTGCCCACCATCCAAACTGACATCCCCAAACAAACTAGAAGAAATTTAGATAAAGTTTGTCTGACTATGCCATTTTTTGCTCACCTTGTACAACAACCTGGTTGCTAGGCACCAGTATCTGCTGGCCATCAGGTGTCTGGGCATACTGCAGGATGGTGGTGCTTTGCTGGGCTCCACCAGAGTTGGCCATGGTGACAGCCTGTAGACCCTGAATGCCTTCGGACCCTGGAGTTGCCAGCTGGATTGTGCCATTAGCGGCTATGGTAACTAGAAAAACCACACAGATGGCAACACAACTGAGAAAAGCAGCAGGCTAGGCTATCATTCTGGGTACTGCAAAGAACTCTTTCTTGATAAGTTAAAAAACCACACAGGCTCGGAGCTTTGGGCCATTAGACTGGCTAATACTCAAAGTGGTTAATAGCTAAAGCAACAAATGGTCTCTGGTAGACAGCTGTATCTAGTGAGCATACTAACACAAAAGCATACACTAAGTAATCATACACAACAATCAGAATTATCACAGATTTCTCTTTATTGAAATCTAAAACTTGCCTTTTTTTTCCTTTTAAAGCTGTGGCCTACAGGTACATAACAAAAACAAAAAACAAATTCTCTTTTTTAATGTAAGTAAGTAGAAGGGAGAGGTTCATACTGTACTGGCCGCTGCTGGTCTGGTAGATTGGGGTGGTGGGTACTGTAACACCTGTCACTCCTGTGGATGCTGGGCTGTTATCCTTTCCCTCAATGTGTGTCACTTCCTCAGATGAAAGCTCATTTAGGATTTTTCTACAAGGTGAGAAGAGGAAGACTCCTTGAATTACTATTCATCAAACACGACTGTTTCTGTGAAAATTTCTCTCTTTACTGTTTGTTTTTGTATTTTTACCTGTATGACGGCCGCCTCGCAAGTATTTCTCTGGTCTTTTGGGTTGTTGCTCCACTGTCTGATGAGTCCTGTGAATCTTCACTATCTGAACCCTGGATCTTGAAATAAGGAGATGGATTAACGAGTGCATATAAGTAATTGTATAAAATGGTGGCTGCTTATATAAAGAAATTAAGATAGATAGATAGATAGATACTTTATTTATCCCCTTGGGGAAATTCATGTAAGCAGATGAATTAAACAGAAGCTATCGGTTGGTCTTACCTGTGCAGTCTGCACCTGAGGGGACTGAATGACTGACGACTGTGCAGACTGGATAACTCCTTGAACCTGAAACTGACCCCCTGGCAGTTGTACCACAGCAACAGACGAACCACCCAGTGACATCTACAAAAAACCAAACACCATGTCAAATCCAGAAAACACAGTATACTTGTCATGGTAATTGCATTCAATGTGTACAAAAAGTGAGTTCAGAAGCACACTGAAACATCATTTGGATTTGAAAACATTGCTTAAAAGGGTAATTTATCCCGTACTGTACAAAAAATATTTCCTAAATTTAACCCTTGTGGCGTCCAGCCAAGGAGGTGATTTTGGTTTCATGTGTCGAGGATTGAGATATCTACAAATGATGCTTTTGCCACCACCCCAATACAATCAGAATGAATAGAATTTTGCTTTTTTCCTCAGAGAATTGAAAAAAATACCATTCAAAGACTCAGCAGTAACATGTCTTTCAAGAGACAATGCCCTGGTTACTTTGGATAATCTACAGACCTCAGTTTCCACTGGTTCAACTGCTGAAATATTCCCTATGAAAGTCCTGAATAACTGAATGTTAGTTTTGCAAAGATGAGTTATTGCTGAATTTTTCTAAAATCTTTTTTTTATATATTTTGAGCCCCACAAACATTACCCAATTCTCCACCTTTGCAGTGGGTTTATGGCTGAAATTTTCAAGATGAGCATCACATAAAGCCAAAACTATCTGTATGACTAGATGTCAGAAGGGATATATAGACTTTTTCTATTTGGGTGAACTGATCATTATGAGTCTAGTTTAAGAAACTTACTAATGATAGCTAAGTGAACACATAATGGGTCTTGTCACAATATGATTAAGTATGTACTCATTTACATTATTTAACAATCATGTATTTACAGTTCTATGGTGTGTATGCTTAGAGTCTATAAATGCTGACAGCCACTGTCAGATGCCATGAACTCAAACAGGGACTTAAAGTCCTTCAAGTACAAACTGTTTTTTGCTGTCAAGATAGAAATTCAAACAGCTTCTAGTACACCTACAAGGAGCAAGACTGCAACAAGCTATTCACACTAAACACTATTTCCAGTAATCCCTCCATGTTACAAAATTGACAGTTCATTTAAAACTTAAGTACGATAAATACTTCAATTGTCATTTTACAAATTAGTTTATACTGCTATATGCAATACAATTATGAAAGATAAAGTTTCAATTCAGATTATTGTTATCTAACTTTGCAGATAAAGCCTGACAAAATGGGAACTATGTGGATGTCTGTTAGTTGTCTTTTTGGATCCATCTTAAATTTTAAGTCACATTACAGCAAGAGTTTAAGCAAACTTCCTACATATAAACCGGAAAATAACCTGTATTAATAAGACATCTTTAGACCTTGTGCTTTCAACATGACATTCATGAACAAGGTGGACTAGTGCTATTAGCAAAGCAACTGCTACTGAGGCACTGTTTGGCAGTGTTTGAGATACTTGTTAATGGTATTTTGAAAGGGATCTATTCGTTACCTGTTGGGCTATCTGTGAGAACTGAGAGGATGTGATGGTAGTGGGAATGGTGGCAGTCTGTGAGTCAGTGCCATTGCTGCCCTGCTGTACTTCTTCCATAGTAACTGGGAACAAATAAATCAATATTACTGTTTTACAATGGCTCTAATCTGATACAACAAATGTCTGCGGCGGGGCTGCCTGTATTATGCTGTAACTTACTCCGCTGTGGCCTGTGCGCTTATTCTGCAATTTTTGTTAAAATAACTCTTCACGACCAGTGTGGAACAGACCGCGGCAATATCAAATCACGGTTGCTTATTTGAGATAACCAGTGGTTTCTTCTAAAGTTAAACGTGTGCATTTTAGCTAATCAAAACTCGACTTCCTTTTTGGTTCAATCGTGTTAGCCAATGCAACTAACGATAACATGGAGTTACGGAACATAGCTAGGCCCGGCAGTCTACTATTAACTGTTTTCACTCATTATTTGGCGTTAAATGCTAAATTTGACCAAGTGGCCGACTCCAACCCTGTAAATCGTTAACAGCTGAAATGTAAAGTTATCGTGTGAGTCATTACTACTAGAATGTTCGCGCTCACCAACGTTACCGCTGCTAGTTAACGGTAGCTAACATTCAGTTAAACGGATGTTAACCAGTTTAAATCGTTAAATACAACCGCTTTCGAGCTACAAGCAGAGTAAGTTTCGCCACTCTGGTGCACAGGATGGATGAGCTTTTGTCTCAATGAGCAAATATGTGTAACTCTGTCACTGGCACGCAAGTTACCGCGTCAATAGACGTCAGCGATACGGGGAGCCATTAAGCTAACTACACCTTCCCTTTTCGTAAAACGGCGAGGAGTTGACGAAGCAACAGCCGCCATTACCGCCACAGCGCAGCATACAGCCATACGAGCACAAAAGTACCGCTGGGCCAGCCAAAATTTACCTTTTCAAAAGCCGCGTAACTGCTCTTGTTCACAGCGTGGACTTCGTGCAATTCGGGTGTATACTTTGACACAAGAAACACCCTGAAAAGTTACTTAGCAGCAACTGCTAACAGCTAAAAATACAAAGATGTCAGCTAAAAAAAATAGCTGACCACTTTTTTCCCAAAGGAAATGGGCGGTGCTGTTAGCAAAGCCGCATTATGTAATAGTTTCTCCAGGCTTTGTGATTGGTGAAAAGAGTTTGAGCAACTGGTGGATACACATAGAGTGGCAAAAGTTGAATTTGTTACTTTTCTATAACCAAAACTAATTTGCTTGAGTTTCATTTTATGCCGCCTTGTACTTTCATTTTGACACATTTCATTGGGAAATATTGTACTTTTTACTCCACTACATTTACTTGACAGCGATTGTTACTCTGACAATCAAATCATATGTCTATCCCATAAAATATGATGCACAAGTGCTTAAAATTAGCTCTGCATCCACCAGCTACAGCATGTCTGTGCTGCGGACACAATGCGTTGTTTATATTATTACAATATTGTGACACTGATAGCTGATAGACTAACATTTGAAGACTTGAGGCTGATCTTCCTCTTGTCACTTCAAAACGCAGTGAACATCACATCAATAATAATCCAAAGAGGCTATATAAGACATTAAGGTCAGTTTCAATCCATGTTACACTAATACTAAACTCATGAATATGGAGACACCTTAAATGATTAAATGTTTTTGTTTATTATGTATTACTTTTACATAAAGTATAAAACAAAGTACAACAAACCAAAATAGAAAATAAGTGAGAAAAGTGGGAAGGGGTGTACCACCTTGATTTCTTAACTACACGAGTTAAAACACCTCTCTAGCATTAAAGATTCATCATCGGATCACGCCCTAATGGAGCAATTTAGAATTTACCAAATAATTAATATACAACATATCAAGAGTGCATACACAAAATATTGATAGAACAACTCAACAGAGATGAATACAGTCTTAAGTACACTACTGGTTAGATTTCATCAGTCCTCTGTTCTTTGTTATTACAAAATGTATAAGCATGTATAATTCACCAGACTGTGCAAGCTATGAAATTAAATTGCACTGTCTTTGGGATTGCATAGTGTGTAAGAACTCTGACGGAGAAAAAGAGTGGAAACCAAAGGAAGCCCTTGTTGACTTCCTAGCGAAGCAGGTAGATGGTAGATGGACACTGGTTGCCCGTAACTCCTCTTTTTGCTCATTAGGTTTGCAAGATCCGCAGTGATTACAAGGAAATTTGTTTTGACAAACGTCTACATTTTATGGGTAGTATTCACAGATTGCACCAAGGGACCGCCTGGTCCATCCCTGTGTTATGAGTTTTGTTCCCTGAATGTACAGTTTCATACATACATATCTCCCCCACCTGTGCCTTCAGATGAGATGTGCCTCAAGCTGATTTCTTTGTGTGCTTGGCTGAGTCATGCAAACACTCTGCTGCTAACATAGGATACAATGTTAAAGCTAAGATGAAGTGCTATTAGTCTTTTTTCAAGTTAGACTTAAAACTGAGCAAAAACAAATATAAAGCATTATATTTCTAAAATTATTAGCACATTTAATCTAACATGAAACGGGGATAGTTAAATCAAATCTTGAGTCCACACAGTAGAAACCTACTGTGAGTACCACCAGTGCAAAGTGCAGTAATTCAATGGATCATACTCCTGTTTACCTTGAAATAATTAAAAATCTTCTTAATAATGTGTTTGGCATGATTGAGTGTTATAATGGGACAATTGCAAAAGTCCAAAAATAACAAAAACTATTTACATGTTGACATTAAGGGTTCATCACTGAAATACAGTATTATCCTGTACAAAGAACCTATAAAGTATGGCAAGGAGCACAAGGAAAGCACAAGGTTGCAGGAAACCAAATACATTTCGCAAAAACATCTTAATGCAAATATTTTTTTTACCCTTTTCTTTTTCATACACTTACTTTACGTGCCAATCAAAGATGTTTCAGATGTGGCTCAGCTTCGCAACTGCATTCACAAGTGCTTATAAATCCAGTGACTGAACACAAAATAATCCAGATACATGATGACTTGCCTCTATTGACTACAGACTTACAGTACCAACAACAATCCTGTTGGAATTCAAAGTAATTCTTTACAGAGTTGCACAAACACAAAACACAGTCCTAATGAACTTAGAGTGTAGAGAGGAAAAGGAAAAGGGCCGAACTCTCAAACACTTGCTCTACTATGCAGTACAAAACTGAGAGGGGTGTGAATCTTTAGCAACACAAAGTACAATGGCAATGGATATTAGATGAACAGATGGGGGCCTATTTTCTTATTAGATGAACAGATGGGGGCCTATTTTCTTTTTTTTTTACGTTAAAATAACCTGGTAGCCTGAAAACAGTCATGATATTGGTTTTAGCTTTCTCATCACACCATGTTTTTTTTCCCTGGTATTAACAGTGATAGCCCTCCTGGTAAACTCTCAAATACCCTCAAGCAAGATTCCCAAGAATAATATATGCTCCTGTACCATTCGTCATAATGCCTCATTGTTATAATAAAATAGACAATTTTAGAGAAAGTGCAATGTTATATCTATTCTGACTAACAATGCTTTAAAGTTATTCATTTTTACCCTCCATTATACAACTAATATTCCACCTCAAAATTACTGTCCAGTCTTATTTACAATTGTCTTTCTGCTACTATTGTAATCTCCCATTTTAACTATCCAGAAACCATCGACTGAGAGAGATGAGTCAAGCATTTATACATTTATACAATTAAAAATATCTATACAGAAACATACAGTATCTAAAATACAAGGAGGCCTTTATAGATACAGTACAGAATATGGCCCCTTTCCTCTTTTACTTTAAACCCTTTGGATATCTGTCGGGATTTCCATTACTAGTCAAAACCAAACGAGAATAAACAGCCATCAATAACGGATTCATTAAAAATTAAGATAGGAATGTATGGCTGAAGTTTTATAAGGCAGGAAATATATATGAGGGCAGAAAAATCTATTTGGCTTCATTATCATGGGACAAAATAAGCATTTTAAATAATGTACACTGACTGAGACTAGCTACTAGTTTCAAGGTTTGCTTTCATGTGCCCTCTTATTCATCCATGTTAGTGAGAAATGACAAGGTCTCAGCACATGCATTTGTGTGCATTAGTTTGAAAGCTGCATGTGAAAATATTTCAAGTTGTTGATTTAAGTTAAGTAGCTCTTGGAATCTGTGTAGACACATAAGGGAAAGCATTTTAAGAGGTTTGTGGTAAGTATAGAATAAGAAGATGGATTTTCACAAAGACATTAATATAGTATTTATATTAAAAGTGGTCTTGTTGTATGTGTCGTTTGCCCCTTTCCCCCAAAAAGTGCAACAGGGACTTTTTTTTTCTTTGCCATAAGCAACACGTTGCTTCAATCCCATTTGCAATATTCTATCTATAAAACACAGTGAACAACTCCAAACATGGCAGATCCAATCACAGACATGCAGTGGCCAAGATATGCTGGTGTCACACAGGGGCTGGGTAGCAGTATATGTAGTTCATGCTTTTCCTTCTCATCATCTGCCAAGTCAGTAGTCAAATGTTTAGATGATGGTGCAGAAGCATCCAGACTGTGGATGATGGCTAAACAAGCCCCTCACATGTTGTAAGCAACATAGATGGGATCCAGCTGGTCAGCGAGGAAAGAGTCGCGTAGGTGCATACGTTGCTTCTCTCCCCTGGAGTTGATGGGTATAACACCAGGGTCCACAATAACCACCACACCCACGATGAGGTGGTGCTCCTCCAGGACCACGTTGGTTATCAGAGGCACCAGGTCCAGTGCATCCTGCTCTGAACCACACAGCTCCGACACCACCACCAGCAGGTTGGTCCATGTAAACACAGCACTGTGAGAAACGAGAACAGGGTGACTGAGAGTGGTGTTCAAACCCAAAAGCCATGTTAAAGGAGTATTTCAACATTTGGGGAATTGTGCTTAGTCAGTCTCCTGCCATGAGATCACTTAAATACACTGAACATGAAGCTAGCACCAGTAGTAGATGGTTAGCTTAGCTTTGCACAGCACAAAGATTGAAAACAGGCTTTGTTGAAAGGTAGCACCTCTAACACTCACTTTAATCCATACTAAAACAAAAGTATAAAAATGACAAGCTGTTGGTTGTATGGGGGAAACAAACAAGATATAACATGTTAATTAGTGAGCTTTAGTGTTTTGTTAGCTGTTTCCCCTGTTTGCAGTTTATGTGCTAAGCTAACTGGCTGTATCAGAATCATATCAAAGTATGCACATGAGTACATGAGAATATATTAATAAAATGTGCATATGTCAGGTAGATAATGTACATCAGGAGCATTCTCACCTCTCAGCAATACTGCGGTGAGCCCGGGACACTGAGGTTTCAATGTCGATGGGGTGGTAACGCAACCCTCGTAGCTCCAAGGTCTCATCCAGTGAGCCCACCACAAAGAGAGCATCATGCCGATCTGAGCACAGAGATACAGGCAACATAGTCAATCCAGAAAAGTTTGTAGACAAAGTGGAGGAAAATGTAAACAGCCAGGAATGTGCTTACTCCGATTTGATAGGTTTCATTCAATAAAAGGTCTTGCATAGGGTTGCATTTATCATCTATAATCTATCTGATAATAAATTCATCATGACTTGACTGTGCTGATTCAATCTATTTTGTTTTGAATCAAGGTTTTAGCTCTGTAAGGGTCTATATACCGCCACTGGCATCCAACAGTTCAGTCCTCTTCACAAAACCCAAGTATCCGGTTCTGGCCCATAAGGTCTGCGGGTCTCCGAAGCTGAGTTTGGTGTTGAAGTGGTCGGCCTGAAGACTCTCCTCTCCATAGATGGTGTAGTAGCCACTGGCATTGTGAGGGCTGTTCACCCAGACCTAAGACAGAGAAGGATACGCTGGGTCACTGCTAGGTTCGATGGGAAGAACATTTTTGGTTTTGCCGCGATGTCGTTACAAAAGGAGAGTGTCTGTTCAGAACTTCCTCTCACCTCTCCTAGATGAGAATCACCCAGTGGGCCTCTGGTCTCTGGATTCACGATTATCACCCGCACACCTGGCAGTATCTGCAAATAAAACGAAATGTAAAGGCACCGTGGAGTACACTGTCAACATGCCTTTAACTTAACGCTTCACAAACTGAATCTGCTCCGCTGGAATGCTTATGGAACATCTCACCTTGCCAGACTCCATTAGAGGAAGACTTTGAGGTGCTCCTCTCTCCACCAGCCTCACTCTGAAATGGCCAACAACACATACACACATAAGCAGACATATGCAGGTATTCAAACTAAAATTATTCAATGATCTTTCAAATTGTTCTTTTTCCTAACAAGGTTCCAAACATCTTCTGTAACCACTTGTGCTGTTCAAGGTTGCTGGGTTTATCAGATATATGTGGGGGTACTTTTTCATTTAACATTTACTGCTTCATAATGTGAAGCCTTTTGAATTACTGTGATATAGACACAGGTTGTCTGCAGATTATGAGACCGTTTCAAGCCATTTTAATGCTGTTTCGGAAAACATTTAAACATGAATAGTATTTTTTTTTTAAACGCACAAAACATTTTGCCGACTTCAGACACAACAGGCACATTAATCTTCAGAACTCATAAACATCAATTAACAAGACCTAAAGTCCATACATACAGTGAGGGCCTGACTTCCAAAAACAAGTCTCTGAATTTAAGTGTCAATTCAGGACACTTAAGCCTTGTCAAAGGTTAATGGTAATCCCAGACTGAAATAATCCACATGACCTCACCTGTCATGGCGGAGGGACTTCATGTCCACATACACTGTACATGGATCAGGACCAGTAGTGCCCTGTGACACACAGCGGACAGATACATACATGTCAGACTCAAGGTTTAGTTCCCAGTGTGTGTCTACGTAATGTGAGGTTATGCTGTACCTGCAGACAGACGGCCAAGTTCACCCTGGAGCCAAAAGCAGTACTGACAGCTCTGGACGACAGCCCCACATCCTTAAACAGCTTGGAGAAGGAGTGTGTGAGGGCCAGGCGGGGGCGTTCCTCCGCTATCACCACACAGCTCCGCACGCATGAGAGGTTCACACCACGAGCCTGAGAAAGACGCGCGCACACAGACACAATGATCGTCGTTGAAATGACCATGACTCTTTATTTATCATGGTTGATGCCTCTCTCCTTACCTTGAGTAACTCAGTCTGAGTGCCCAGCCCTTTAGTGCAGAGCTCCATGACAGAGTAGGAGCAGAAGGTGTCTCTGATGCGGTACTGACTGAGTGTGCTCAGCCACAGAGACGAGCAGCTCTCCAACTCAAAGGGAGGAATCAGGATGGATTGGTGACCTGAGTAAACACTGTCAGACAAGAAATGCAGCGGTGATTAGGGGAGAAACACATCAGAGGAAAAACATAACATGTGGGCTTTGTGGGTAAAAGGTTTACCTTGCGAGGCACCACAAGACAAAGCCCAGACCACAGTAAGGATCCAGGCAGATGGCTATTTGGCGAGAGGAGTACAGTTCACACTGTAGCTTTATGGAGCGACAAAGTGCACTAACCGCTGCATGAGAGATCTGTTACAGACAAGAAGACACGTTAGAACATCAAAGAGCTTCACCCTGACTCTGAAACTGTCTAACATCAACATGTGAGGTTTGATATTTCCTGAGAGCAATCTTATGTTTTTTTGGGTTTTTTTTTTTTTTGTAATTTAGTCTACTGGTTCTTCTTACACTTTACATTAGACTGAATCATTTTCAGGTGCTGAAAAATTGCACTGCACTGCATTATAATCTATTCAGGTTAATGTCCTTTTCTATGATGGATTCCCCACTGTATGTTTTGAACATCAGTGCTTTATAATGATGACATTGCCTGATTCTGTTCATAATGTTTGTTTGTCACTTCACTCACTTTGGTCTGGCAAAGGTCAATAGGCAATAATAGCTGATTGACTGGAACTTATTGACTCATTTATTGTTGTTGTTGCTTGTTTTATGCTGTTGATTTTTTTTTTATCTGCAAATGTGTGCAAATATGTGAGATGGCACATCATCTAGGTTTAGCAAATTATACAAAAGTATAAGAAAGGTACATCACCAAACAACAAAATATGCCCATAAATGCAAACACATTGCTGCCTGCAAGGCATTGCCTAAACAGCATATTGGCAATGGTTTTTGCAAGCAGCAATGTGCTTCAATGTCTTTTTCCTGCAGCAAGATTCATATTCTAAAATGTGATAAGACTGAACTCAGCAGCTCTATAATATCAGGTGGTTACAGGACTGTGATCAAGAGGGAACATAAAGATATTTGACAGTGAATCTCATGTGTTTCACCTTAACCCCAGTGAGCATGCCTGTGGTGGACACGCTGAAGTCCAGATAAGCTATCATCTCTGCCGTGGGCGGCTTATAGATCTGTGGAGGCCGACGGCGAGGAAGGTCATCTGCGAACAGGAACAGTGGGTGTTTTACAGAGCACAAAGTAAACATGGAATTATTTTGATCAATGATGACACAGCAAAATGTTATGATTTCCAAGTGTATCTAATACTGTTCATTTACTGGTTGTGAAACTCATTGAAATTCAACTTTTCTCAAGGAGAGCTTCACATAATAAAAAACACACAAGTCAATACATGCTAAAAGGAATAAAAAACAGAAACATAGTACAGCTGCGGGCAGCAAACTAACCAAAAGTACACCAGGCACATCATAAATCTACCCACTGAGCAAATTTAATAACAACACCGGAAAATGCATTGCAGAGATAAATGCACCACTTCCTGTTGGTTTAATGCTGCAAACTGTCACAGCAAATGGTCTGCAATGACTGATGACAGCAGTCCTGACAGAACTGAGTAATTCATGCACTACTAACCTTGCCTTCACTATGACTACTACTACTCACTACTGATTAGCTTCTCATTTATTAATGAGCATGTCAGTTATTGTAAAGAGTACAGTCACTTTTGATTAGAAATACTCGACATAAATAGGGTCAATGATAGAGACACACTATTAGAATTATTTCCACCATTACTTTTTTTTTTTTCTTGCTATCATGAACCTTTCCACACTTTGGACTGATGGTGGAGCCAGAGGCATTGTTTTTCACTTGCAACACTTTGGACAAACCATGATAAGAGACATCCAGTATCTTAATACTGTATTCACATACGGTGAAGTTTTGTCAGTGTATGAGATTTGGCCTTTTTCACTTGACATGTCACAGTAGGAAAATGTGTAAACAATGATGGGTTAATTCCATTTAGCTGCTTCAGTTTCAGGGTCCCACTACTGAGTATGCTGGGTCATTGTCATGTCTTTCCGGGACACTTAAATAGAATGGAGCCATTGGTAATCTTATTAGTTTCCTTTTCCTTCTATGGTAAGTCAAAGTGTCTGCTGTGCTGATGTACATTTTGGTGTCTTACCTGTGTCGATGATTGTTGGCCACGTTTTAATGTTTACAGAGGCAGCAGCCTCTTTGGAGCGCAGAGTCCTCATGAGGTTTTGAGTGGTAAGGATACACGCAGCTTTACTGACCTGGTAACAAAACATAAGCATGATTCATTTGCAAAGGAGAAGCTGCCAAAAATGGTCAAAAATTAAATGAGAGACAAAAACAGCCCTAAGCACATAAAAAATGCTTCACACAACATGATTTATCTTCCTATCACCTATAGAGTTTAAAATATCAAATTACAACGATCAGCTGAATCAATATGTTTTTGAAGATTTTATAGACAGAAAAAATTCCAGGAAAAGTGTATGGCTTTATTTTCAGTTTATGTCATTAGTTTGATTCTTGGTGAACATGAGCTTTTTTGTTGGCACTGAGGTGTCAACAAATCCATGACACGCGTGTATGTGCAGAAGTGCACACATACACTTACATCAATAATCATGCGGACAGTAGGCAATGTGGCCGCCAGGTTCTGAGGGTGTGGAGGTCTGACGTTTACGGGAACACATCCAGCGTAGAGACAGCCATAGAAGGCGGCTATCAAATCAATGCCTGAGAGGAAGGTGGAGCACAAGGGTGGAGTGAAAAAAAAAGAGAGAAAATCAATCCATGATTCACAATAATTAATCTCCGTGGGAGTGATACTTAGAGAGGAAGCCAGAGGCAGAACCTACCAGGAGGATAGAGCAGCACTACGTTCTCTCCAGTGTTGATGCTGCCTTTCTCAGTGAGCGCCGCAGCGATCTTCTCTGCCCGCTTATGAAGTTGGACGCAGGATGCGGTGCTCACTGTTACACCCTGGGGGACAGGAAGAAATAATGAGAGCGAGAGACACAGGGTCAGAAATTGAGGTGTAATTTGTGTAGCAGCATCTTTACATATTCTTGTGCATTGAAGTTAAAGTAAGTAAAATATCAGCATTGATGATCTACTGTATTTCTCAGTGTGTGGAGAGATCAGTATGGTACCTTAGCATTAAGAAGAACAAAGAGGACATGGTCTGGGTCTGTCTGTGCCCTCCAGTGTAGAGCCTCTGTCAAATACTGATGCTGCAGTAAGAGGAAAAATGTCATTAGATGTGTATACTGTACATCTGAGGGTGTGCTTAAATAAACTGTATACATTATTTCAAACACAGCCATGAAGGGCTCATACTGATGAAGGGCTCATGCTGATGGAAGAATTTAATTCAATACACCTAAATAAAACAAAATAAAGTGGTGCTCAGAGACTGCATACCTCAGTAGACGGCTGTCTGGCATAAATTGTCTCTAGCCAACGTGAAAACAATTTATATCACATACGCTGAGCCAATCCAGCTTTTAAAATAATGAACAATAATTTAGGATGTGAAAGGTACGTCTGCAGTAAAACAAGGGGTAGCTAAAGAGGCTGCATATCTTGTAACACAAATTAAAAAATGAAATAAAAAAACATGCAAAATTTTGCTTGTGCCACATTTTACCACAAGTACACAAAATAAAACCACAATACACTATAGATTAGAGCATGATGAGCATAAACAAGGGTGTGGAGAGGATGCCAGATGGGGCCGTAATTCTTACCATCACAGTGGGCCACATACAGAGCTACATCCAGAGGGAGACGAGAGCAGAAAGAAAGAAGAGTCCAAACATTTTTTTTTTTTTTTTTTTTTAACATCTATAGAACTGATCCCTGGCTGAGCGTGGGCCATTGTTACACTGGCAGTGGAAAGTTTTCAAACCTCACTATTTACCATCATAACACACTTTCCTGCTGCTTCTGAAGGACATGCATGTGATTCTTTTGAAAATGGGAACGTGGTTAAAAAGTTATCAGACTCAGAGTTAGTGGTTGGTTGAAATTACAGTGTTGATGGTCACACTACCTTCCGGACGAGATCCTGGTCTTCGATCATGCCGAGGTCCCTGCCTGCGGCCTGGGCAATCCTCTTCCCTGCCACCAGGTTGCCCACCATGACGGACGCAGGACCTACGCCAACTACAAGAGAAAAAGAGTGTGAGAGAGACAGAGAAAAGGAAAGGGCAGAACAATTCCCAAATTTAGAAACTGTAATGTGTGTGTTATGTAACACTACTGACCATGCTATTACTTTACAAAACACTTTATACCCTGACTGACTCTCGCATGCAGGACAGAGTCAGCAGTTTCTCTCATCTTTTGGGATACAGTCAGTAATTCAGCCATTAGTTCAACAGGAATTCTAATCCTCAACATGATAAATTTAAAAAGTTCAAACTTCATATCCCATCAGAACACACATTTAACAACCACGTCTTATCACAGACGTACCCGGCTGCTTCTGCCGGGGCTTGGGCAGGTTGGTGACACATGTATGGGGACACATGAGGATGTTGCAGGGGTGCAGGTTGCCATCTAAGAAGTACTGCTTGGTGTCAGAGATGTGGATGCCACCCAGGGGTGTTTTAGGTAAGGTGTTGGCCGGGACCAGAGCCAGACAGTAGAGGCCCACCTGGTGGATGCTGTCAATAGCCTACACAGGACACCAAACATGAAGAAGACGACAATTTAAGTCCTTGGCTGACAAAACAGTGAGTTTGTCTCCATGTCATAGACACACTGAAAAGAGATCGTCAGTTAAACATTGTAGTGTCGCAACATTCAGAGGAGATGAATTACCGCTTTAATTAGTTGAGTATTAATGTATTTTTACACAAAATAATAATTTTACGCTGTAGAAACGCTCCTTCAAAATAAAAGCATTTGAAAGAAGATGATGGGGTGATTTACCTGAAGCACTCGACTCATCCACTGGAAGCTGTCCTCCTCGCTGGCATCTGGCCTCTGCTCTGCCACAATCACTACCCTCTCATCATAGAACACTGTGACTGAAAACACAGCGATCCTGACACACACACAAACACAGAAACACACGCAAATACATTGAAGGTTATTCAGAAGGTGTGGAAGTCAGACATCTACACAAAAGCAGATTAAATGCAGCATGAAATTCTCCACTGAGAAAGAAATGTAGCTCTGCTGTTTATACATCAGCAACACATCCAGTGCTGCCTTGTTTGAGCCTGCTGTGCTCTCTTTGTACCACCAGGTGTCAGTAGTGGCAAATTAAGATTCACACTTGGCCCATAGGGGAGCTCATCATCTCTCTACACATACTTCGTATAAAGAAGATTTTCTTCTCACCTGCCACGGTACACAGTCTTGACCGGCTCCACGGCCAGAGCGGTGGCCACCAGGTCGTCAGCGTTGTGTCTCCGCCCGCTCACCATCAGCAGACCTTCGATCTTCCCCACCACAAAGATCAGACTGCCCTGTACAGAGGGATACACACACACACACACACACAGCAGGGTCATTATACTGTAAGTATACAGATCCATTCAAGGACACAGAGAGAAGGATGTTTTCCAGGAAGGTTCGAGTTACCACAGATGATGTACTCTAATGAAACAATCCTACTTACTGGGCCAACAAACCCCAGGAGTCCCGAGCGCACAAATGGAATCTCTCCAATGGGAACTCCATTAGCGTTAACAGGTATTACCTGAACACAACGACACACAAAAGACAGAAAGGAGGGCAATATAACACAAGAAGAAGTTAACCGACTTTTTTATTTTATGAGACGTATCGGTGCAGGCAGGTTAGTGTTGTTATGCTGCTCTCATACCTCGAAGGTGTTTTTTGTGACTCCAGGCAGGCCGTAGTACATGTTGCCTCCAGCACGAGAGTTGATTATTATCTCTCCTATCTCATCTGTTTTACACAGCTGAGGAGGCCCATCAGGCCTAACAATGCACATCAGAGCTGGAGACACACAAAGACAACATTTAGAAAACACAGACTTCTCATGTGAAAGGTAGGGAATTTACCAATGGCTTTCTACTGTTCAGCCCGGTTTTCACATCATCATCCACTTCACAACAATTAAATTTAAATCACTGTAGTGATTATCTAGAGGCCAGAGATCTTAAAGTGCACGATTGAAAAAACATTCAGCAACATGTGCCAGCTCTGTGATCTTGGAGAAGTGGAAAGAGTCTTCTGTCTGTCTCTAACATTTAACAGAGTGATTTGACAGTACTGTGAAATATTCTGGGGTCCAGACTTACTTACTATACACTTATGTTTTATCAGTAATCTATCAGTTTAAAAATGTGTGCTCTACATTTTTGATCTGGTTTATATGTATTTGTGGTGTGACACAGTAATAAACCAGCACAGTAATAAAAAAATATCATCACCATAATCACAGAAACTGTGTACAGTTTAGGTTGATTTTGAATTATTAAGAAAGCAAACCATCATTTTTCCTGCTGCGTAGAAACTGGTTTACGTCCATGTCAGTATGAAATGGATGTTTGAGATATTCCATCACAGGGAACAGTTACCATGTTTTTTTTTCTGCCAAAGTTATCTCATCATCTTGTATTAATGTTTAGATGCTTGCAGAAAGCTCCGACATCAAATTTGGTTACACTCTTTCCTGTGTAAGGAACAACACATTTCTTATTGGGCTTACATTTCTGATAAACTGTAGCTCATGGAAGCTTTTTTGGCAGCTGACTCTTACGTCTTTGATGTCAGATTTCCCCACACGCACCTATCTGTCGTTTGTATTCTATGACTTCCTTTTGACTCATGTATCTTTCCGTCTCTCCTCACCTCCAGGCATGACATGCCCCACATCTTGCACAGTCAGAGCGGAGTTCTTGTCCTCTGTGTTGACCCTGATGACGCCGTGGCTAAGGCCGCCCAGTGAAAGAATGGCACGGGCGGGAAGGGGTGCACCGGGTACCCCTGGTCTACACAGGAGAGAGAGCTCGATCAAACATCCACATTTCTATCCCATCTGTTCTTACAGCCTTCAGTCTTCATCTGTCCTACTGGGCCAGTAAAAATGAAAATCAAACTTGAATGTGTCGTGTTATTTCGTTGCCATGTTTTATACATTATCAGCTAATGTCCTTTCATAAAACTAGAAAGTGGGAGGTAGAAGGGAGGGGTTTCAATTGCTCTTTTGTGTTTCATTTTTTTCATTCTATATAAAGGTTAACAATTCAATGAAAAAGAAAATATGGGTCAATGACATACCTGCGTATAGCTACTGTCATGGCCTCGGGGGAGGTGGCACAGGGACAGATGACCTCAGGCTTCAGCCCGTGGGACTGAAACACGTTCAGGAAGGCATCGCAGGAAGACACCGACCCTGGAGAGCAAGAGACAGGGGATTCAAGGTGTTGCACCAGATCTATGCAGTTCGAAAAGGTCTTGCTTTACAAAACTGTGAGGTCATATGATGTACTCACAGGGATTAGCACCATCAGCAACAATGAGCATACGTAATGAGGCCAGGCTGGTGTCTCTCTGGTCCCGATGAGCCATCATGGCCCAGTGGAGATCACGGCACTTCACCAAAGCTATACGAGCTGCACAAGAGTAAATGTGACATGACATGTTATACATGTGTACATGTTTACCTGCCACTGTTCAAGCTGGGAAATAAGTGTAATTTACCTTTGTGGATGTGGACCCTCTGAACCCAGGAGAGTGGACAAGCCTTCATTACTGCATAGGGAACACTGATAGTGTGTATCCTGTTCATCACAGCCTGGAAACAACAAAACAAAATTATGCAGCTAATACAGTGTAATACTTATTTTTCCCGTCATGACAAAACCCCACATTATGACAGTCTACTAAAACATTCTCAAAAAACAGAAATTAAAAAAAAGACAGTTTATTGGCTTAATGGCTAGAAGCATAGTGCTTCACCAGGCAATTATAGTTTAGTTAATTGAACCATTCTAAATGCTAAATGTACAATGTTGAATCATTTCAACAACTGGAATAACTGAAATAAAATCAGACACTGTTTGAGTGGTACGAACAAAAAATCTAATGGACAAACATCTGTTTTCAGAGAGTCTAAGAAAGAACTCACCCATAACTCACGGTTAAAAGATAAAAAGTGAATTTCTTGATAGAGCTGCCATGTCTCGCAGGCAATCTAATGCAGCTATACATACGGTATGTCTACACACGCTCACCGTGAGAACACCATGCCATAGGCCCATATCCTTCTTAAAGTCCAGGACATTCACTAGAGTTTCCCCTTAAAGTGAAGAAAGACAGAAGAGACTTCAAACTCATGACGATTGTGCTGATGAAGAAACCTTCAGATGAGGGCTAATGATGGCACCGCAGGTCCTTACTCACCCTCGCAGTAGTTGCAGGCCTGGGTCAGTGCTTGGCAGTGGGTCAACATGGCTACTTTAGACACAGCCACACCCACCACTGTGCCTTCTTTACTCGCCTTGTACTACACAGGAAGTGAACACAAGAGGAGCATGTGAATACCTGTGCAAACCCCAACACAGTTGTCACATCAGCAATGTGTACAAGAATGGTCTGGTTTTAATGTTCCCATATTAAATTTTGCTTTTATCATGATTTATTAGATCATTTATTTGCACATACAAATATATGCAATAATTTAGTAATAATTTAACTGAAGGCAAACTACGGTTGGGGAACACAATAGAAAAAACAATCAGATGCATGACAATAAGAATATAGTTAAATCTAAGATGGTTCTACAATACAGTCTCCTTAAAATCAGCAAAACAGAGCAACAACAAACAGCTCTGTTACCTCTATATATGCAGGGTCAGTGTTGGCGGTGGGGATGTGCGGCTGCCAGTCTTTGGAGGGCTTGGTCAGGTACTTTGAGTCTGTCACCACCCACTTTAGTCGAGGCCAGCCTATTAGAGAAATGCATCAGTCAAAGTAAAGTCAACTATTTCGAAATAGTCTGAAATTCAATCTGTAACTTTAACTGTAAGACACAACAGGCACTTGCACTGGTTGCAGACCTTTGAACTGCAGTATTTCCCCTGTGGGTGTCTTGGGTAGACCCTTCAAACAGATCTCACTGGTCAGAGCCAGACCAACACCACAGCTACCCAGCAGAAACCCCACCTGGCTGATACCTGCATCCTAAAGACACCACACACAGAAAAAGCACAATTATATATTCAGAAGTTTCAGGTCGAAAGGAACAAAAAGAGTTTCTGTATTCAGAAAATGAATACTGATGGTGTTCTTACCTTGCGAGACAGTGGTACCTCAATAGGTACAGGAATAACCTCAGCCAGGAGGCAGCCGTAGAAGGCCACCCAGAACATCCCGGGGTCGCTGTTGGGGTACACCAGCGCAACCTACCAAGACATTAAACTTCACACTTAGCTTTATGTGAGATTATAAAGAGGAAAATGTGTCTTTATGGAAGTAAACGCTCGAGATAAAACAATCTTAGAATTCTTAAAAATTCTCATTAAAAATAGTAACAACAGTACAAGTCTACACACATGCTAGCAGGTGTGTGAATCTGCACTTAGGCGAGCAGTGCTTTGAGTTAAATGCTAACATGAGCATGCTAACATGCTCACGATGACAATGTTAAAATGCTGATTTCTAGCAGGTGTAATGTTTACCACGTTCATCATATTAATTTACCACATTAACATGCTAAAATTTGCTAATTAGCATGAGACACAAGGCTTAGCAGAGGCTCGTCGCACAAGGTCAAGGCCTGCCTCATCTTGTTGCCCACAAATACTGCACAACGTATTCCTCTGTACTAAATGACTTTGCCAGGATGACACTATATTTGCTGTATGCTGTATGTGTATGGATCTCTTTTCCGATCTATTTTCTGTCCGTATGTGCGCCGTCTCACCCTGTCTCCAGGTTTGAGGATTTGCTCGTTCTTGTTTCCCAGCTTGTTTAGGAGGGTGTAAGCCAGCTTCACACTGCGACTCCACAGCTTCCCTAACAGACAGAGGGTGGACACAGGAGGTAAGATCGAATCTAAACACTGCCAACAAAAAATACCTCATGGCACAAACAACTAATAACAATATTAGTGCTCTTTTCAGTACAAAATGTATGACTTCCAGTAGATACAGTTAATGCACAAGCTGCATTTTGATTTGACACTATAAAAATCCTTCAATGGCTTCTGCATATTGAATAGTACAGTCGTGTGTCTCACCATAAGTCAGTGTATAGAGCGGTCTGCCCGTGATGTCAAGAGCAGTGAGGGCGGGGCTCTTCCCCTGAGTGGCCCCCCAGCGGGCCAATGCTGCCTGCAGGGCTGGGGGCCAGTTACTGACCACTCCCAAAGGCTCTCCTTTCACTGGGATGATCTGACGGCCCTCCGGCTTGGGCGTGTTTGGGTCCGGCTGGGGCACTATGAGAAAAGCAACAGAACACCTTTGGGTATGTTACAGATGAATGGGGTCCATAATGGATGCCACCAGGATCACAAGGTACCAAACATGTAAGAAAATACTGGCACTTCTTTCAATTAAGGCACCCTTTATAAGTTGTAACAAGCAACATTTACAGCTCCAGAATTGAGTGAGTATAAAGTATTTAATAATGATATATTATTGTATATAATATATAATACATAATAATACATATGGTACTGATTCAGAGCAACATTACAACAGTCTGCACAAGTTACTCAAAATGTTTTGTTTTGTTTGATTTATTGATGCAACCATTAGAATTGGCATCTTTCATTTGAACATTTCACTTCATGCAAAATTTAAGGGGAATATTGGGAACACAGTGGTTGAAGTGTTTCATGAAGCATTGTACCTTCTACAATCTCCTCCGAGTCGTCGGTGAAGAACTCGCTGAGCGGGGGCCTCTTAGGCCTTTTCAGGGTGTTGAGAAGCTGCTGGATCTTAGTGGACACTCTGCTGTTCACAGGGACCCCTACAAGCAGGGTGACGGTGGCAAGACAAACACAGTCACACTCACTGCAGTTAATACACACAGTGACAAAACACAACCCGCTGAGACTTCTTCCCATCTCACAGTCTGCTGCTCTTCATCCCGTAGCACAAGAGGCTGTAATTATTTGTTAACACTAAATCATTTGTCTTGCATTGATCGTAATAACTTCTAGGAATGAAAAGCAGCGTATGTACTGTAGGTGGCAACAACACGAGGAAAACATGGTGAGAAGTGGGGTAAAGGTTGTTTTTGTTTTTTTTTTTGGTTTGGGGTCACACGGAGGATTGGTGAGGATTCATTTTGGGTGTGGATGTTGTGTTTGTTTCATTTATTTCTATGATCATTCGTTACAAACAGGAGGGAGAGTAAGGGTAGAACAGCAAACACAGAAGGCTACGGACATTATACATGAAAGTGTTTCCTTACTCTGGATATTACCTCTTCCTATCAGCCAGTCAAATAAACATGCGACAGGGTGGAAAAAGATCAAGAAGAAAAGAAAGCAGTTAAGTCTGATTAATGATGTGTCATGGTTGGAGGTCAAGACTTATTTTGAAGAGAGAAGAGTTAGACACAGGCTCCAGCAAAGACACACAAACAAATAAAAAGGTTTGTGTGGTGCTGCTGTTACCGTCCGCAGTCTCCATCATGCTTGAGCGGCTCTGCCCACGGCTCATACCCCGAACCACGGCGTTGGAGGGCAGGTCCACCCGCGGGCCTCTGCCTGGAGGTGCTCCAGCTGTAACATCTGGAGGGGGAGCGCTGTTCTCTGAGGGGGCTGCAGGGGAAGCAAAGGAGGAGAGTCTGAACAAAGCTATCCCCCTTTCTAATTACAATATTACACACTGGAATATTTAAAGTTGTAATAAAACTTGCACGAGGATTCATTTGGATATAAAGTCCTTCAGTGTTGTTCATTTTATCTTTTATCCTGTGTCATGCTTCAATTAAAAAAAAAACATCACTTAATGTCCTGTGCTATTTCTAGTTCAGTGTTTTATTGTCTTGACGGGTAAAACATCACATAAACATCAATAAAGGATTTTCTGATTTTGCAAGGGAAACTGCTGAACTAATACAGGCAATAGTGGCGTCTCACCAATGCGGCTGTGAGCCAGCATGTCTGTCACAGCTGCGGTGTGGGGCTGCTCATGTGGATGGTGCTGTGGATGGTGTTGTGGATGGTGTTGTGGATGGTGTTGTGGATGGTGCTGTGGATGGTGCTGAGGCTGGTGCTGAGGCTGGTGCTGAGGCTGGTAGTGAGGCTGATACAGAGGTTGGTACTGCGGTTTGTACTGCGGCTGAGGCTGAGCTTGGCTCTGAGGCTGCGGTTTGGCCTCCCCGTGGGACAGGGTGGAGGAGGCCGAGGAGGAGGTGGAGGATCCCTGGACGGAGCGGTTGATCCAAGAGTCTGGGCTCTGCAGGTTGGGATTGACAGGCGGGGGAGCGACCACTGATGACTGCCTGCGCGCAGATGTCTCATCTTCAGAGCCTGATGAAGAGTCTAAATGAGAGAGAACAAAGTATGAATTTCCAGCCCTGACTCCCTCTGGCTAAAGGTCAGATCTGTCTGAAAAAGTGTCTTGACAGGACAAGAGGATTGTCTTTCTTCCTGTCCTACCTGGTGGTGTGCGGGTTTCAATAGGAGACTGGACGTAAGTAGAGCGCCGCTTGGTTGGCATGGGCAGTGCCATCTTCTCCTCCTTATGTTTAGCCAGGGCAGCTTGTACTGCCTCAGTATGGATATCTGCATAGACAGAGAAAAATACTCTCTGTGAGTGAGGGACAAAAAAAACAAGAAAACAATGAAGGAAACAGCAAAAAATCCCACAACATATAGTCTGGGTCTCCTTTTTCCTTTAATGAGAGATTTTTGCTGAGTGGTTTTTGTGATGTCGATTCAAAGCAGATTTTTTCTTCCTTGTAAACTGGCTTATGTAGAAACTGCATTATTTTCCTAACTGCTGCTTGAATATTTTTAGTCCTCTAGTTCAGTGGATCCCAACCTAAAGGAAAAAAGAGCCTATGATCTAAAACATATCAAGGACAGAAACCATGGCCAGGGAACTATGACTACAAATGACTACAAGCCAAAAAAGTAATCGTTTTTGTTGGTAATTTTGGACATTTTAGTTTTGTTTCACTCAGCTTTTGTTTAAGAAGATAAAGCATATTAAATTGTAAAGGAAACTTCTAAAATCCTAAGAGGATGACTGTGTTTTCCCACTGAAACAGGAAACCACAACAGGAGCAGAGAGCAAAGCTGTGTATTAGCCCACACGCTTGCCTACACACATGCACACACAAATGCACACAATAATATATGCCGAGATACTTTCCCTTGATGACACCCACAGGCACATAAAAAAAAAATGACCACGTGAACAGCCACACATTCAAGCTGCGTAACTAAACATGTGCAACAAAAGCCCACTCACTGACAAATCACATCTATTAACTCAGGGGACATTATTTCCATTCAAACATCAATGCATTTAAATAAATCATCAAGCACAGCTCATTACACAGCAGCAGTGGGGACTATAATTACATAACTGGCACTCTGCTGTACAGACTGCTCCGGGATAAATCATCCTCCCTCGTAATGTGCCGTCGTCCACCCTCACACAGGAGCGGCAGGAGAGGTTTGACTCCTTACACATGTCTGGGAGGAGGACGGCTGACAAGGGAGGCGATAAGCAGGGTGGGGTGTGTTTTACATCAGCTCCAATTAACAGTGAGAGTTATTTAGCCAAAGGCCTAATATAGTCTTATCTTTCTTACATGCCTCTTTGGTTTAATATTGTGAATTTGAATCAGTTTACCAAACATACATGTGAAAAAACAGGAGCATCATAAAAGTCAGTCAACACTATCTTAGCGAACGCAGCAGGTTGTTTAAGAGGAGTAATAACTGGAGGAAGCAAGAGGAGATGAGAGGCAATTAAATTTAGTTGTTCTCTATTTTCTCTGCAGCCTATAAAATAATAAGCACTTGAATCTCTCCGGTTTCTTATTGCTGCAGTGGTTTATCATCATCATTATGTTGGATCTCTTTTAAAACTCTGCTTGTTTTGCCATGCCGTCTGTCGGTCAATCTGTCACTTTGGTGAACTGAAAACTGAAATATCTCATTAACTTGTGGAAGAATTTCATGGTTCCCAGAGGATGAATGCTCATGACCTTACTTATGGCTAGTGACTTTGTTGAAACTGTTTTGGAGAGGTGGTGATTCAACTTCATGATTATTTTGGAGAATGTAGTTTGTTGTGCTACGTTGTTAAATTGTATTGTTATATTGACTGGTGTTTCCGGTATTTTCAACCCATTTATATCAAGGAGGATAGGCTGATTCACGTTTAAAGACATACACTAATGAAATACTGTATATTGCTTTTCACAGGAGTGAAAAGTACAGGTATGCAACACTACACAGCAGGTGGCTGTGTCTCAGGAGCAAGAAGTATTTAAATGCAGTTGTTTTACTACACTTATCAGTGATGCAGCAAAATCAGGATTATTCCTATGTGTATGAAATCTCAATTTACTTCTCCTTGTAGGGTAAACTACGTATTGTGATATATAGGAAATGGTGAATGAATGAACAAGAGACGGATTTCAGACACTTGACTGATGATAAGCTTTCCAGTTCCCTTTGAAAATAGCCCGGTTGAAACAAGCTGTATCAGTGCAATTTCACTGAACTGTACCACACAGTGAACAGAGTAAAATGGAGGGCACAGTCTTTATATGGCAAAACAGCTCATCTTCTCTCTTGCCCTTGCTCTATGCTCCTCTCCCCCAGGCCGTTTCTTTCAACCCATCAGTCCTACAAAACTTTACTTTTACACTGCACTGTGAAAGCCCAAGACAATGCTGCACTACGTTCCATCAGTACATTTCAGCACGGCCCCTCATTCCTCATTTATTTCTTGATGTATTTTGCCAATTTCAATTTTGGCTCTACTCTATTTTCCCAGCTCTAGTCCTCTCTGTGTTTCCTCCAATCAGATAAAAAATATTCTGTTGCTCGTCAGATTTAATACAACTGAAACATCTTTAGACAAACCTCCGCCAAGCTCCAGCTTAACATAGTAACTCTAGTCAGCTTGGTATTTAGCATGCTGGAGTGCGAGGGTGTTTCACACGAGGGGAAAGAATTGTTGAAAAGGCGAGAAGGAAGAGAGAATTAAGAAACGGCGCAGGGGGGTGTGGGCCGATCTGGAGGGAGGACGCTTTTACAGTCTGCAGCTCAGCGAACAGACACACCAGTATCCTCCTCTCACATGCTCTGTGCTCTTTCACCTCTACTCCACTGCTCTGTTTTTCTTTAACCTCGCCAGCGTCAAGTTTTCCCCACCACATCAGTATTCCTCTGTTCTCCACACAGCCTCCTCACACATAGCCAGGCAGTGACATCACTCTGCTTTCATGGAGTGGGGGTCCTCACTGAGGAGCTCCCCAGCTGCGGGGCTGCACTGCCGGCTGGCTTTCTCAGCGCGTGCGCGCGCGCGCACACACACACACACACACACACACACACACAATGTCTCGATGGCTTCAGAGAACATTACATTGACTCACATGAATTTCCTGGAGACCTACTCCAACCTTTACCTAAACCTAACCTTTAAACATGTCTACACTTTAAAGTTTAATGATTTATGATATGGGGACTTGCTTTTTGTCCCCATAAGGAAGACAAGTCCTTACAATGTCCCTACAACATGAGCAATATCTGGACCACACACACACACACACACACACACACACACGCTCTCTCTCTCTCTCTTCTTTAATTGAAACAGCCCAGAGAGTCTGAGCTGGCTCAACAAGTGAAGCTGATGTAGAAACTAAATTTCCTCAGTGACTGACACGTCAGAGGTGTTTTACATTTGGGGATAAAGTGGGTTTTTTATTTAGCTGTATGTGTTCTTGCTGACCTGATCTGTAGCGGTCATCCCTGGTCCCTCCACCGCGGTGTGTTCTGCGGGAGCGACGTTCCCGGTACCGGGATGAGCTGGAGGGGGGAGGGGCGTGGCTGGAGGAGGAACTGGGAGCTGGAGGCTGCACGTCATTCTGAGGCGGCGGCTCCACTGTCAAAGAAATGCAGAAATAAAATGTGTTAATAAATAAATACACATAGGAAGCTTAGTATGTTGCTTCTCCAACAGTGTAATCTCAGTTGCATCAGCTGCCATTCCTTTCAACATAATCTCCATGTTTCCAGTAATAACATCCGTTTGACCTCAAGAGGTCAAAGATCTTCACTTAACTTTTGCCTTCTAGTGTGTTCATGGAAAAAAGCAGAAAGCCGATTTCAATGACTTTGAATGACTGTAATTAAGGTTGTCTTTCTACCCTTCCTAAACTATATAAGATCTATTTAACCAATTTAAGAATTACTTTATTTCTCTTTATCGCATACTTATTTCAAAGAGCAGGAAATGAAGAAATTGTAATATTGCAATGGCAGTTGGCATATTTTCATTATTGTCTGTAGTTGTGCGTTGATCACCTTTATCTTCCTGAAACTGACAATAAAGATATGAAACATAACTCAACAATAAGAAATACACATTTAGATAAAGCTCTGAAATATCTATAGGCCTGCATCTATACTGCTATTACATCAGGTCATAGATAACTAGAGGGCCAAAATGTCTGTATGTTTTTTATTATTATTATTATTATTAGTTATATGTAATGCTGTGTGGTAATAAATGAGAGTCATTGAAAACCAGTCCCCCACAGTACTACAATAGTGGAATAAATTTCTCATTAGGACATTGGCCACATTCTCTCTATTGGATGTCTGATAAGACAAGTAGAGAAGGAGCCTCCAAAAATAAGACAGAATTTGTTTTCAACCATCACAGTGGGATGATGGGAAATCAGCAGAAAGACTGTACCACTAGGAGGCAGCAGTGAGCATCAGGGCTTAATGTGCATTACTAGTGTCATTTCCAGAACTATTACAGTCTATATCTAATTCACATTTCCTGACTACAATGTAGTGAGGTTAACATTTATTGATTTTTCTTTTTTTGGTTTGTAAAATAAATTCACAGTGTGAGGCCCAGGTTGAAATAACCCCTTGTTGTGAAAAGACATAGATGTGACAACAAGGTTATAGGGCAACTTAACTGACAACCAGTAGAGCACTGATTTTATGTAACTGAGTCATAGAAATACGACACTGGAAATCAATTAAAATCAAGATCCCTATGTAAAAACATGGCGTGGTATTTTCTGATGTGTATGATCAGAGAAGATGGAAGATGAACAGTTATGCCTGATCAGGAAAAACAAAAAGAGATGCTGGGTTTTTACCTGGAGTGTGGATGATGTAGGGAGCCAGGAGTTTGGTCCTTTTCTTCTCATAGCCCTTCTGTGTAATGTCACCTGTAAAACAAAGTCCAAATATAATGTATTTTTTACAGACTGGGCTCAATAAGGCAAAGCTGTTCGTGCAACGACAACAAATTCTTAACTTAGATTTGACAGGATTAGAATAAACATCAGTATATTCACATTGTCAACAGCCCCGTCCTTCCCCATCCAACATTACATAGCTTTACAGATTTATTTACTCTTGATAAAACACACTTGATAACACTTTTTCAATTATTGTTTTAACAGTGAGATCAGATCTAGAAGTGGTAAGAACCAAGTGAGACTCATTCAAGTATTCTCTCCATAGTTTAACGATCATAATCACCTGTTGAAATGGTGATAGAGGAAAGAGAGAGAAACAGAGAGGTAAAAAAAAAAAACTAGTAAAAGAGAAGATGGAAACACAGATGGGTGCAGGCAGTGTTGCAGTAATCTCCAGAGATGGCTGAGGGCGTCAAAGATGTGGCTTGGTTCCAGCCTCAACTACAACATGAAGGGAAAAACAAAACAGGACTAAATTTGGAAACTTACGGAAGCGTGGGCTGGAGATGGGATGATTCAGAGACACCGAGAGAAAACAGAAAGAGGCATGAAAGCTGAGGATGAGAAAGGTGGGAGACACACAGAGATAAAAGAGGAATGACGAGAGCACAGGGGAGGAAGAGACGAGGAGAGGGAGAGATGACAGAGGTGAGTAACAGTGCAGCCAGAGGACAGAGGAGGAGGAATCCCGAGTCACAAGCGTGAAGCGAGCAAAGTGTCCCTTCAACACCCCCTTCCTACCACAACCCCCCCCCCCCCCCACCCCTGCCGACAGCCCATCTGCATCGTCCTCCGCCCCACCAGACCCAGCACAGGCTGACGGATCTCTCTGCTGGCCCTGAAGCAATGCAGTGACTCTGCCAAACTCCTCTGTGGGCAAAGCTGTCAGATTTTCAGACACGTACTAAAAATCCATCTGGAGAGCCTGCGCTCACTTTCCTAGTAACTGTGTTGAACAGCGATGATTCATTCAGTATGTCCGCCAATGGCTGCTCTGGCCGCTCTCAGACCTCGTCTTCATCATGGAGACAGTCTCAATGACAAGGGAAAAACCTTGACATTTTCATACAGAGAATTAATAAGCCTGCCTCTGTGTGTGTAATAACCCTGGGTTGTTTCCGCTCTGTGTAATATTGGCCGGTCTGACATTTGATCCTAGTTTGTGAACAGCAGTGACTCTTCTGTAGTTGTATCATCTCCCAGAGCTCCGAGCTTTAATCCCTGATTAAAAATTAGGCTGCTGAGATGCACAGCGATGAAAGGCTGACGCTGTCTGCTACTGATGTTGTCTCTTCCCAGTTACACCACAGAGGACAACAGGGATTAGATGAGGATTTTCTGGGACACCGAAACAGGTGTGCACCTGCCAGGTACACAGCCACATAGAGTACAGAGCTAGGTTACAATAGAGTTGAATTCAGTCACCATTCTGTATACTTCCATAGCCATTGTTTCTACTAGTTATGATAATATTGTACTGCTATCATGACAAGTGATTCAAAGTAAATCTGCACCGTGGCATCACTACAAAGAAGTTCAACCAGTAAACACACACACACACACACACACACTTGGAAAAAGTCTGTGTTTAGGGAGGCAGCAGGGATGTTGCTGCAAATGTTTTTTTTTTAGTCGGATAAGTGTTAGGAAGCTAAGTTTTTTTAGGTTTTGTTTCTTTTTTCTTTTTAAAAACTGCATTAGGATCCATATATGTTGTGAACTCAGTTCTGCATCAGATAAAACCAAACAAAAAGTGAGTGTACACAAAATGTCAGTTATAATCTCTCATTGTAAAGAGTGTATGTTTGGTCTCTCCTCCAAATTAGTTTGTCTGACGTCTGGATTTGTGGCCTGACCACTTGTGTTGCCCAGTTACACCTCTTTTTAGCACTGTTGTGTTTCCAGATCTCAGCATTTAACTTGGTGAGTACGACTTTGTTGTTAATAACATGAATGATGACCAGATTACAAAATAATGTCTAAGTTGTAATAAACCTGAATTATCCTTTATCACAAATATGGATATACAGTATTTCACCGTATGGCAAATATATGACATTTGGACAAAAGAAATGTGTAAAACAGACTGATTGATTATCTTAACTTGAATTACATCACTAATGCAGTTCTTCAGCACAGTAGAAAACACAGCAATGTTTCAGCAAATCAGATATCTACACGGTTAAAGCATCACACTGCTGACACACCACAGACGAGCTGACCAAAATGAGAGCTCTCATGTTTGGAGGGTATCGCCTGAGAGCCCACTTCAACACAATATCTACTCAGGGACTGAGGCTCTTTTTTTCCCGAGGAAAAATGGAAGAAAAGCAAACACTTCCATAAGTAATGCATGAACGGTACAGTTGGCCTCGCTCAGTCACATGATTTATTTTTAGCTCATGTGAACAGGCAGTTTTTCTGCAGATAGACACAGAGCGAGAGAGGGAGAGAGAGAGAGAGAGAGAGAGAGAGAGAGAGAGAGAGGGAGAGAGAGAGAGAGAGGGATGGAGATGAGAGTGAGAGATGGGGGAAGGGCTGGCATAGCATTAAATGAATCTCAAAGTAATCACTCTTCCATCTGGATGATTTGAAATTCATCTGTTTTTATTTTGTGCTTGTATCATCAGATCCAGGCTCCAGCAGTGGGAGCTGAAGAGTTAAACCTCCTTAAAAGGTACATGAACTACAGGTGAACGGATATAAGACAGGAAACTAAATGTGGCAAAATTGGCAAACTTGGATATGAGAAAAACTGAGAAAAGTCCTACCAATATGGTTTTTCTTTTGCTTTCTTTTTTATTATTCCGAGCACTTTGAGCGGCCTGAACTTCCCCATGAAAAGTGTTTTACAAGTAAGACTTTTATTTATTTATCTATTCATTTATTTACTTTCTCTGATTTATTAACAATAAATCTTCTCCTGTCTGTTCACAGGTTACTCTCTAATAAACAGTGAAAGAGATCTGCTTAGGAAGCAAAGCACAGCTCTGATGAGGTGATGAGGGCCCCACTTGTTAACCCACTTTCTCACAGTGACCCAGTCATGTCTGTCCTAATGGTGGAGGTCACAATCAAGCCGTTTCGGGTGAGGAATACCACGGCTCTCCTCATTCATCTTGGCTTGACAGTTGCACTGGCGAGATGCAATCACATCCGCGGAACGTATGTTTTCTTTTTCCACTAGAAGGAGGAACATCAAAGCTGTGTCTTCTCCCCGGCCCTGTACACTCTCACACTTGCTAGCTTCTGATTATTTGAATTGCAGCGAGACTGCTCGCTCCTTCTACCCCACAGGCACTCCGTGTGAATAGTAATTAGCCACCGACCTCTATTCTCTTTTCCTGCTTTTTTCCCTCTCCCTCATCACGTCTCACTCAGTTGCTTTCTCATGCAAACAATTTAGACACATGTCAACACCTGTTTAATGAAAATTATACCAACACATGTTAAAATATTACAGGGAGAAAGCAGGATTTCCAGATGTTATCTCAGAGAAAACAGACTACTTCAACAAGGTTTGAAGATAAGACTCTGGAATGCAGCCGACTACAACAACACAACATTACCATCGTAATGTATCAAGTCAGTGAAAATCTAGACTTTGACTATGGGACTGCAACAGACTGAAATACTGTGGTCCTGATAGATGATGACATATGGACCACTGTGTTTGGGCTTGTGCCCTATCTACATTTGTTGATATGAGTTCAAGTGTGTTGTTTTCGTGGGAGGGTGGGGGTGGGGGGTTGTTTATTTGCCAAACCAACCTTCCTGAAGCCTAAAGAGCCGGCACATTTTTATCAGTAGAACAAACATCCTACTGAAACCTCCCAGCGGCCTCCTCTTCCCAACAGGCCATGCATCTCACTCAGCCAAGAGATCACCCACTCGCTGCGTCCACACACTCACGCACAACGGCCACAGGTCACACACATCCTGGACATGTTAGCAACAGTTTCACTTGATTTATTGTTTAAAATCTTAAAAATTAGGTCAACAGTACGCATAACGGGTCCCTCCCTTTCTCTTGCACACACATACACGTTTCCTGTCGGGGAGGAAGACGTTATGTTCTCCAGTATTCAACCCTACGTCCTCTGAAAGGCTTTCCCTGCAGATCTGGCAGAACGTTTTCCATCATATCACAAATTTTACTTGCAATACAGTTTGCTGTTTAGCATACAGTCCATGTGAAAGGTTGTTTGACAACTAAATGTAGGATCAAACCTGATCACAGCTACATGTGCGGGTTAACAGGTGTGTGTCTATACGTGTGTATACTTGTATATAACGAGCAAAAATCTCAGTGAAGGCGCAAACAGTCCAGAGTGCATACAGATACGAGACTGCAAGTGTGTCAACAAGACATGCAGGTAAGTGCGCGAAGGACATTTAGGCCGATAGTGCTACTTAAATGTAGACCACAGTTAAAAAATTAATGAATTTTTATTAAAGCCCTTGTCAGTTTTACATTTTTATTTCCTTTTAAGTAGCTTCAAGGTTGGAAAAATCATCTTTGTATCTGGGAGCAGATTGTTCCAGCTCTTCATTCAACTAATAATGTTTGACATTCAACATTCAAACCCCAGACTGCAGTTACACAGTTACGTCATTACATCAAATGGAAATATTCAAGATGTATTGAAAATCATTTTGCATACAATTTCCACACTTGCCAGGAAGAAAGTGCAGTTTTATATTATTCAAACACACATAATTCTTTACCATGCATTACATGAGGAGAGGCTGCGTGTATAAATATATGAACTCAAGACAATAAAACTGGTATTACAGGCACTGGTGAGGAAAGAGGTGCTTTACAAGAGCCTAAAGCTCTATTACACACACACACACACACACACACACACACACACACACACACACACACACACACAGAAAAGTCTCAATTGATTCTCTCTCTCTGAAATAGTAGGTAGGGTGTGGCCAATTCAGGTACTGGAGTG